ACTCCAGTCAGACAGTACTTTCCTCAAATCACTCCAGTCAGAATAGTACCCTCTGGATATTTAACATGGCTATGGAAATGGTCCATTTATAGATGGTTTACCTATTAATAGCATGGTGATTTTCCAGTTCGCTACGTTAGGCATAACCAGAGGGTAAATGCTACCCGCTAGCCCCAACGAAATCAGGAGCAGTTAGAAGACGGTTTAGCCTTGGATTGAAGAATCGGATCAGGGTTTGCGGCGCGCAAGCGAGGCTTGGAGGGTGCAAAAGCTGGTTTGTGTAAAAAGTAGTTTGTTTAAAAGCAGTTGGTGTAAAACCTGTTTTGTACAGGCTATAGTTTGCGTGAAAGCTAGTTCACGCAAAATAAATCTCTCTGTTTGGTTTTTTTACAGCCACTTGGTGGGTGCAACCTTGATCACTGTATGGCAACGTATCCGACGTTTTGCCCGGAGAGCAGAACAAGCTAAAGCTAGGAGATCTATGGGCCAAGTTCAAAAGCTACAACATGCTTGGCCACATAAGCTAGGAGACCGGAGACCTATATCCAAGGAATACAACATAGGTACTGTATAGAACAAGCTAAATCCCCACCGCAGGTACGCTCGAATCAAAACTTTGCCAGTCCCCGTCATGAGCGGAGAAAGCACACTTGTTAAAATGTGGTGCCCCCCGGTTTCTCATTGGGGTGGGACTTTGTTTAACATCACATACATCACTGAACTTCGTCACTGAACTATAGATATCAGCAATGTCTAGCATAGACCTTAGTTATCCAACAAAACTCTTTTTGCAAACCTAGGGGCACCTTGAGGATTTTGACTTCAGTAAACCATCAAAAACGGGAGTCCTGAAATGGGATATTCATGGAATACGGCTGACGAAGAGTCAACGTTGCCAAGAATTTTATTGACAGCCAGATCACGGGTTCCATATGGTTGTCATTGTTGCCGCTGCCTGGCATGAAGATGCGACCTTGCACAAAAAAATGTCTAAACTTGGTTTCAGGAGTGCGGAAACTGGGAGCGTTGGCAATTCTTACCTTGCTTTTTGGTTGAGCTGCTGGCCTCGGCGTTTCTGCTTGCAGCCAAGGCCTATGTGAACATGTTGCCCCGCTCTGTGGCGCGGGTGATGCAGGAGTTGTCGCAGTTGGCCTGGCGGCGACCTCAGTTTCTATTCGGTTGATGCGGTTAATGGGTTGAAAACACTAGTGTGTGCAATTTAAAAGATAAACGTATTAATATAATCTATGCATATATATTTTTAAAATATATACGTACATATATATATATATATATATTCCAAAAAAATGTTTTGTCTTTCAATCGGGAAGAACGGCGGGCGCACCACCGGATTTGGCAGCAGCCTTTTGAGAAACAAAACCACGTATGAGATCCAGTTGTAAACACGGGAGGCTGATTGTGGGGAATCAAATCGCACACCACTGCGCCATTGTCAGTGGCGTAGTTTCCGTCCATGTAGTGGGCAACCTAGGCCAGCCTGATACAGAATTGTTTCGAATTCCCTCGCACAAACGGGCCCCTACATCATGAGAGGCATGGCATTTGTTGCTGATGTATGACGATGTCCTGTTTTGACTGGTTCAATCAGGGCCCCCGAGACAGACAAATTGGCTCGAAACTCTGTAGGCCATTAGGATTTCCAGGTGGGCGTGTTTCAGAGCGAACTTAGAACTGGGGGACGGAACGTGCCAGAGGTCGTTTTGCTCGGCGTTGAGTTGCTTGGAGGGCACGTCCTCCGAGATCCAAGTCCAAACCCCAGTGAAAAGGTTGGATTTGAGCAACCACTGTGCATGGCTGGACAGCGGTTTAATTTGAAAAGTTCCAGGTCCAGATGAGCGTAGGACAAGATTATGAATACACTATGATGTTGATGATAAAAACCAAACACAATGGAACATTGCAGGGAATTTAACCATTGTTTTCTCCAAAACACAATAATATCAATAATGACGTTTGATTACAAAACAGTTTGTAGTAATTTTGCATTGTGGCAAAAAATTGTTTGAAGTTTTGTTTGGTATGGTATGGTGGTGCATTTCTATTTGCACCTGCAATTGCGGCATGCAAAAGGGCTGCAAATCAAATTTTTGAATGCGCTGCAGATTTTGATCAATTCAACCATGCAATTTTGGGTTCCCAAATCAAACACAAATCATCCAAAATTAGGCCATTTTAGTATTGAAACCAATGGTTTTGTGGGTAACCCCATTTTAAGAGACTCCAACATTGGGGTAGCTAACGACTTCGGTTCCCAAACGAGTCTTGTCCACACGTGTCCTGTGCCCTGGTCTTGTGAACAAATGGTTTGTGGTCGTGGCTCAAAATCGTTGTAGGAAATGAAAACAGGTGGAATATAATTGGGATGAATCTTGATAAACCATAGTTAAATAATATATATATATATATATAATTAATATATATATATAATTAATATATATAATATATATATATATATATCTCTCTCTCAACAATTTTTATGGTCATGGTATGTTATGGTGCAAAACCCAGTTTTTGTTTGATGATAAAAAAGGGTGTTGTATCCGATGTTTTTTGGGGGTGCCAAACTTTTGTGGGAAACGCGGCGTACGCGTGTTTCTTTTTTGGCGGTCGGTTCAGAAACGAAAGACACATTTTTGTGTTTTTGGTAGAAAAGTGGTATCAGAATCGAATTACTTTTTTTTTCGTGCTGGATATATTTTGAGCCCCACTGTTTACATCTAGAATTCAATCAAATTAATTATTGAAAAAGGGTAAATTCATTGACACCGCTGGAATTTTGAGTGTGTGAACCACACAAACTCAAACAACACCACCTTAGCCAAGTTTTACTGGTTCTGCAATCACATCCGGTAGCATTTTCTCGTTGCCGCCATGTCGCCACCCGAAATGCCAGAGAATTGCCATTGGTCCGGAGACGCAACCAAAATGGTGGGTTAATTTTCTAGTGGGCAACCCAAAATAACAGAATCATAAACATTTTTTTGGTGGTTATTATTTTTAACAGGATCTTACATTTTTCAATAGCGGAACATTTTTGGCTGCTTTGGGGATGGTTGTCCGATGTCAAGAATCTGGGCGATTTCTGTCCGGGAGGATATCCCCACAGCACTGGGTACAAGGACTGAGGGTTGGTGATCCCCCATATATCCACCTTAGTATATATTATATAGAGCTATATCCCGTATATTATAGTTATATCCCATATAACCATATATTATATCCCCCATATATCCCCTATATGTAATTATATCCCCATATACTTATATCCCATATTATAATTGGGATATAGTCATAACCAGCAACATGTACCCTCTGGTAATTTGATAGTTGCTATGGAACATGGTCCATTCCATTTACAGATGGTTTGCATTGATTTACTTATTGCATATTCAATCCGGTAATTTTCCATAGCTATGTTGAACTACCAGAGGGAAGGGAACTCAAAATTCAGAAAACATTTGAAATTCTCATGGTAGAAGTATGTGTAAATTATACCTGGATGGATGTGCATCTCATGATTCACAACTGGTTACTTCACCCGTAACCATCCCATTCAAAAACCAGTTCTATGTGACCATTGCAACATTGACCATTTCTCCCAACTGGGCCTCACGAATCTAACCAACATGATTGTTGGTCAAGTATTCCATGCATTTCATTGTTTGATTATTGTTACGTGCATCTATTGCTCATAGTTGGTTATGTTTCCCACTTTTCTGAGGTAAATTCCATGTGGTTTGGTCAAGAAAAAACGGGACACTTACACGGTTGTTATGACTTGGGTTTCCAGTTTCCAGGAGTTTGCTAGTGTTGTCCTTGCCGCAATGAACATCCCACTCACCTTGGGGAATCAACTCTTTTTTTTTGCCATAAATGGAATAGAAGCATAAACTTACTGATGCTTAGCAGGGAATGAGGGGGGAATGATCCATAATCACTAGCAACAATCATCCCAGCAACCCCCAGCAACCCATCCATTCCCTACGTTTAGCACCAGTAAGTAAAGTAACCATACAAGGTGGTGCCCCCCAGTTATAAGTTGGTTTATAATCCCATTAACTATAGATATATCTACCATAAGTCCTAGTTATTAGAGTTATAAACCAACTTAGCTATCTTGGGGGCACCACATTGTAGGTAAATCCTGGTCTCCAGGTCGCTGCCCGAGTCGCGTGAGCTCAGCCATGCGGCCATGCACAACGACACCCAAACGGTCGCTCTGGTGGAGCATGGTGGAGCTGGGTGTCGCACCCCGTTTGGTCACCGGTTTCAATACGAAAAATGGTCGAAATTGGGATGGTTTTTGGGGCTAGCCTCACTTTTGGAAACCTCCATATAAATATTATTAATCAATACTACATAGATCATCATAGGTCTATCAACATGACTCTTTTTAAATAAACCACAGCCTATGACTCAATCTTTGTTCGTAGTATGAGTTGACTAATATTATATGTTGACATGTCATTGAGAAATTATATATATATATACATATATATATATGTTTTATTACTATGAACTCAAATGATTCAATGACCCAATTCATGTGAGTGAAGATCTATCCTTTACGGAACCTGTGGTGGTTTTCTTGAAACCACTGAAGGTGGTAAAGATTTCAGTGGGTATACTGTATTTGTGTACACTGCAAGTACTCACAAGGATGAGTAAGCAGAGAAAAAAATCCAATAAATATGAGCAAACTGACGAAAAAAAATGTGTGTTTTTTTCATTTGTAAGTGGGGTGTGAAGGTAAGGTCAAGTACTTCCTTCGCTTTTGTGATGCTTATCACGGTAAGAATCCCGAGACAAAAGAGCGATTTTTGACTCACAGTCACTCTCCAAATTGTTGGTTGACGAGTCTTCCCATCTTGTTTTATCGGATCCTCCTTGAACCAAACGACCCTCATCAACCAGCATCCCTCGGGTTGCTGAAGTGTTCCAATGGCGAGGTGAAACGCCTTGGGGAGCATGGTCTTCCCATGAACAATGCCCAGCAGCTGGTGTTGCTCTCCGCTACGCGAGACAGGTACGATTCAACCAGGAAGGATTGGGATTTTGATGCCCAGCAGCAATGGGATTTGAGCAGCAAATATTGGGATGACACCGAAACACAGTGATGATATATGATATATCAACAAAATGGTGATGTTAACTAATGCTAACTCAAACATTTGGAGAGTTTGGCAAACTATGAAATATATATATATATATATATATTTTTCTTCAGTTCCAAGGGCTTCATCATTTGAGACGAACACGGAGTACTTATCCCTGGAAAAAAAAAACTGGGATATTATGAGGTTCTATAAGGTTGTGATGGTTGTGGACTGTGAACCCGATATACCCTCAGCAGTTAACTTCAGGGGCTCGCAGCCGACAATGTCTGAGATTTCACGGGAAACTAATCCCGGAAAATTTTGAAGATGTACCCTCCGGTAAACTAATAGTTTGCTATGGAGAATCACTAGTTTCATTGGTAAATCAAATATAAATGACATAAATGGGCCATTTTCTTTAGCTATTTTGACATGACCAGAGGGTATGATTTGCTGAATGCTTCTCATTCCAACGATGTCCAAGAACTGAATAGACCGATCCTCGGTGGCGATCATAGCAAATCATCCCACATGTTGCTACAAATCATATGATGCCGTGCAGAATCATTTCCACTTGACGGAGCAGTGACATGCAGGAACCGCACTGTGGGGTGAATCCACTATACCACCATACCACATCTCTAATAAAATCCTACTAAATCCCATTTAAAACCAGATCATCAACCTGTCATGTTTTCCCATGAAATAGCACATGAAATCCCATGAGTATCACATAAATCCATATACCCTCTGGTAATTTAACATAGCTATTGAAAATGATCATAGAAATAGGTGAGTTTTCCCATTAATAGCATGGTGGATCTTTCCATAGTTTTTTGTAAACGTTTACCAGGCCGGGTAAATCCAACAAATCCCATACCTTTTTTTTGCGCAGGTGGAAGCCCGTGAAGGTCATGATGGACTACGGCTGCGATGCTGGGATTTTGGTGATTTTGGGACTTTTTCCCAGGGCGAAACACATAGGGAATTCATGGTGAAACATATGGAAAACATATGGCGAAACATAGCGAAAACCTATGGAAAACGTATGGAATTCATGGTGAACCATGGAGCTAGTATGACTTTTTGGAGATTTCAGATTCCGAAGTGGGATTTCTTCAGTATCGGTGGGGATTTCTTTTTGAAGCATCAACAATGAGGCATTCAGCCAGCAGGGGATTAAGCTATGACCAATGAATCATGGGAATTCTGGGGTCTGAAGGTTTACCCCAGAATTCCCATGAAAGTCTGGTTGGTGGTTTGGAACATTTTTTTATTTTTCCATATATATATATATATATATACATTAGGAATAATCATCCCAACTGACTTTCATATTTTTCAGAGGGGTAGGTCAACCACCAACCAGTAGTAGAGAATATGATAAATTTCAGCGTTTGGTTTACAGGTGCCCTATTTTCAGAGAAATTCTGTACATGTTGAACACCGGGAGAGGAACATCGGTAATTGATGTGAAAACTTTGATACTCAAAATTGTGATACAGGACGGCATGTTTTTGTGGTACCCGATATGAAGTCTGCAAAAAGTGGGTCTGTTTGGGGATTTGTTTTGGACTAAAGAAGACCTTGCAGTAGTCTCATTGAAGTGCTTGCTTCTGTAGTCTATGAAGTTGGAGTGTGTTTGCGGTCTCTAGTAATACATCTGACTAGATATACACAATCAAGGGATTGTCCAACTTACAGAGAGTTTATACATGTCTTTACCATTTTATAGCCACTTTCTTCAAACTCAAACAACAGTGACCACAGCGGCCATTCTCCCGCTTTTCACCTTTTTCGCCCTCAGGATGTGAGTGGCAGCAGTGGTGAGTCAGCAGTGCTGCTGGCAGCATCCAGAGGGAATTGGAATGAAGTCATCCGCTTCTTGGAGCGAGGCACCACAGCTGGATTTCTTTGAACATGTTGGGAAAGCCACCAGATTTTGATGATTTGTTGGTTGAGAAGATCATCTATCAATGGGGTATGATTAGGTTGAGAAGATTGTGTTCCCTATCAGTAATGGCCATCAATGGGCGGTTCTTCATCATTGGATCGATGTAGCTGGTAAAGGACCGCGTGCATGGACTGCTTTGCCCTGGATATCCTGGATGTTCCTTGAATTTTGACAAATATGGCTGATGACTGGGTGATTACTGTACTAGTTTATTACTGTAAGAGCTTCTGCAACAGCTGTAAGATTTATTATATTTATTCATGAGATCACAAGCCTTTTGATCCGGCAAACTCAGGAGTTTCCTTGAAATCTTGGTGTACATTTCGTCAAACAGGATGCTGAATTGTGGATCAGCCTTTCGAGGGTTCAAGCTGCTACCCTCATTTTTGAACCGTACCCCAAGGTTGTCCCAATTGTGATGTTTAGATCCCACTTTCCCACATTCTGTGCTTAAATCCCAATGCTTGAAGGTTGAACCAGTTAAATCCTTTTTTTTGTATGTTTGAATCAGTTGAACACACATTTATATTCATGTAGTAGGATGTACCCTCCAGTACACTCTGGAAAATCGTCACTTGTAGTCTCTTGTAGGTAAATCGTAAAATCATTGAACTAAATGAATCCCTTCCTAATATTGAACACCTCCTTAGAAACCATGGTTTAGTAGGGAACTTCCACATCATTGGGACATATTGGGACCATTTATGGGGTGTTTCATTTTTTCGGCTTTGATGGGTTTTTTTATGGGCCATGGCTTCCACTTCGCAAAGGGCGCCCTGTGGCACCCATCGCAGCAGGCGTCGCCATCGACTCACCAGCGGCCATTTGGGCCTTTGGCCAAGCAGCCAAGACCAACCGGCCGGACCCTGGGGACGCTGGGGACCCCGGGAGTGGCTACAGATATCTGGGTAAATTTGATCACGACCGAACCCTGTTCTCCCGAACCCTGGGAATAATGGTTATGATTCGGGAAATCATCCCCAAATGGCCTTAAGATTCAGGTTAGTGAATTATTATAATTTGCCCAGAGATATGGTGAAGTTCTGGAACTTTGAGATTTTTTTAGAAGATCTAGCAGCCGGGTGTGTCTGAAAATAGAGAAAACTCATGAAAACTCCTAAAAATATGGTATTAGTATTACATAATTATGATTAATTATGGGGACATTATTATGATCTTATGTCTGGGATCTAGGGGGTACCCTATGTTCAGCCTATTTTCAGACAAAGCCACAAGGCAAATTGATAGAAACATCTGTGTTTTGCTAATTGTGTCTATATGTTTGCTAACTTTCGGGAGATTGTATTACACATATGATTGCAAACTTATCGAATGGTTCCTGTTTTTGTTTCTTCTACCGATATAAGTATATATATATACACCCTCTGGTTATTTAACATAGCCATGGAAAATCACAATTTTTAATAGGTAAACCATCTATAAATGGGCCATTTTCCATGGCTATGTTAAATAACCAGAGGGTATATAAATCATTGGAATTGCCTCCAGAACCACCCAGGACGAGCTTGTTTGACAAACACCTGGCCGCTCCATGACTCTTTTCGCGGCTAGTGCGGCTAGTACCTGGCATTGCCTCAGACATCTCCGCTTCCCCAGATCATAATGCCAGCTCTCCCAATTGGACACGGAAATGAAGAGATTCAATATTTTTCTAAGGTGACCCCCGATTAAGATAGAAAAGTGAAACAGTGAAATCCTACTAAAATCAAATAAATTGTGTTTCTATATTTCAAGGGTTACTGTAAACCAGATGAAGCATGTTTTGTTTGTCATGCCGTATTGAAGCAAATTTTAGACGCCTGTTTCTGACCATCCCAATGCATGCAAATCAAGTGTTGAGATTTAGTCACAGGATGGAAGAACAACTGATTCTGAGTCATGCCATTTCATGCCTAAATGAGTGATTACTTTGACCATTGCATGTTAACACAAATTTCACCAAGTAGAGGTTTCCCAAAATAGGAGTACCGCAAAATCGTCCATTTTAATTGGATTTTCCATGAAATCAACAATCCATTTTGGGTACCACTATTTTAGGAAACCTCCATATGGTGCTGCCTTCACAATCCATGTTGTTACTGATCCCAGCTGAGGGATCCCGGCATAGTCTTGATGGGCCTAGCTCAACGAGGCAACGGCAAGATGCTGCCACGAGTTATTTTATTTATGGTTTCAAGTAATATATATATATATATATTATATATATAATAGGATATATATATATATGTATATAATAGGATATATATATATAGCTCCTATCAAACGATAGACCGATAATTACTATAGATATGATGTATCATAGTGTGTCTACCATAAACATCCACAAACCCAGTTGACCCACTTAAAATGAAGCTTCTCACTGTGGGTGTTCTACAAGGTATAGAATCGCCACACGGGTTGCGAGGACATTTTGGAGAAGTTGATCCAGATGGGTTTGTCGATGGACAGCTGGGGAAGTACCAAGGTTGGGAGATTTGGGATGCGTGCTGATGATACCGTGATACCCTCCATGGCTAATAAGCGGATTTATTTACCAATAGGCTGGTTGGTGGTTTGGAATATGTTTTATGACTTTCCATATATTGGGAATTTCATCATCCCAACTGACGAACTCCATCATTTTTCAGAGGGGTTGGTATACCACCAACCAGTAGGATATTTCAAGCAGGCTCCAAATGATTCTGTTGGATTTTTGGAGAATGTCATCTTCTCTTGTGGCTCCATGTTGGGAATAGGGTCACAACAGGTCACCAGGGTCACCAGTTGCGGAACGCACAAAAATGGGGATGAGTAGAAAGGTGATTTCGGCAGGGTAGAAAGGTGAACAGATCCATGAATATGATTGCCTTTACCTGGCTTCATTGTCAAACTGAGCACAGAAATATAGCTAATATAGTTATCTTGTCAGTACCACTCAGACTTGACCCTCAAGATTGACATTGGCACATATTGGCACAATTTATTCTAAGTCGATGTGGTGAGTAACTGGGAATCCTTAGAATCCCTTGTAGCTGTATTGGGAATTATTGGGATACATCCCCCAGTTGCTTCCAGTTTCGAAGCGCCGAAATGCGAGGCATTTCTGGATGCAGCGGCTGGTGGACATGTGGACGTTCTGCGTTCTTTGGCGCCTCGTGTTGGAAAATCCTGGGCCTTACAGGATGGGTTTAAAGGAATTTACTAAGGTAATTTCCACCACAAGTTGGGATAGTTAACCCCTATATCTATGGTATAGATCTGTAACTGGAACTGCCATTTGGGGGATCCCCAATATGGGGTATCTTTGGGGGATTTTGAACATGTTTTGAATGCCTGAAAAGTTACGTATCGAGATGAAATGTGTTCCTTTTTCGTTGTATTTTTGCTGGGTGATATGTAACTAGCATAACTAGCATTATGGATTGCTGCAAAATCACCCATTTGCATAGCTGGTGTTCCCATAACAACCTCCATTGAGTTCGCGGATCCATCAGAAATGAGAATAAGGTGGGATTTACCAACAAAAAATCATTCACATGGAACTATTTTCAGCAAACTGGAGTTCTCATCCCAATAGATTTAAGTTTTTTGAGGTTTGATAACTGACATAATTACTATATACTACATACCCTTAGCATTTTTGTTGGCCACATTTCAGCCCTGAGATATCAGGTCTCGCATGGAGCGTTATTGACATCCTGGGTGGCGCAGGAAGCTTTACTGGCGGCCACCAAGAAGGAACACGGCGAGGTGACCGCCATCCAAAAAATATCGGGAAAGTGTCTGAAAATAGGGTGCAGTACTCTAAGTTGAATGGATGATTAACATTGTCCTATGAAAGTATGTTAAAACATGCTGATTTGAAGGGTATACCCCAATTTTCAGACAAACCCAGTGGTGATGTCAATGGATTTCATATGATTCACTGGGAAAATCTGGGATTCACCAGGGAAAAAAAACATGAGGCAATGAGACAGTTAGAAAAAAACACCACCAAGATGCAGAAAAAATACTTCATAAACCAGCCCCGAATTTTTGGTTGGCAGGTGATGCGTTACCTGGTGGAGAGCAGAGTGGACGTGACCGGAGAGCTGGGAGATGTGCTCTTGGAAACTGCTGCACCTGGGATTTTACGGAGAAACTCCAAGGTGGGGAGTCAAGGAAAAATGGTGACTCAACCAACAAATCTTTGGGCATTTCATGGCATGTATAGCATTAGATGACTGATTAAAACGATTTATAGCCTTGTTTATTGGGGTGTTTGATCAAAAAAATAAACACCTGGAAGTTTTGAGACCAAAAACAGTTGGAAATGAGGGGGTTCAGGTAGACTCAATGGGTATTTCATGGGGATGTCAATCTGATACTTTGATATCAAGTCGTATAGATAAATGGCACAGCAACTGCAGGCTTGTTCCAGCAGAATTCTTCCCCAGTTGTGGCCATGATTTTCCTACATAGGAGGATTTTTCGGGAACAATTTTGATTGTGAGCAACTTGGATATTCTACTCAGTGGTTGATGATATTGGTGGGTTTGAAGAAATCTTTTATGTTGCATCCTACATGGCTAAAAGATCGTCACGAGCTATAAACAAAATCTACTAAACAGACGTGAATCTGATAAGAATCAGATCTTAAACAGCTAAAATTCATGGAATATATCAGGATGAGTGGCAGAAGTGGTTTCCTTTTGGAGGAACAAGAAATTGATTCTGCCAGTTACTATCAAAGATTGTTGAAGGCTGGATATGGCCAAATGTCTGGCCCCCCAAGGTCTTCACTGTGAAGATATTCCTTGACCCATAAAGGTACCTCCAATGGAAGTTTGCGGCTTGCAGGGACTTCATGACACCTATAGGAAGACTCGACCAGAATGATATGTTTTTGTGGTTTATCACATTTAGACATTTGGGATATCCTTCATGAAGGGACCTAACCACATCGCGGTTGCACACCAGTTCCTCTGAATCCAAGGCTGCTCGAAATGACGTGTACCTGTTGCAGATTCTGCTGAACCAGGCGAAACCGGCTGCAGAGGATGCTTGAACTGAATCTATGTAAAGTCGGCAATTAACGTTGAAATTAAAAAAAGGTGCATGTTCCATTGCCACATTGATTAACATAGTTTTTTCTTTTAATACATAGGTGTGTTCAATCAAAAACATTTGGCAAAATTGAATCCCATGGGTGATCACTTGCCCTCCTGATCACTGGCCAATTTGAAATCTTTGACATACCCATTTTGGAGAAAACACATTAATGTTCATGTTCGTGTAAGTTGATGGTTGATAGATGTTGATATTAGCTCTGGGAATGGTGAGGGTTCAGAGGGCAAGTCACTTGAGTGCTTATTAGAGTTCGTCAGGTAGAGTGAACCAACAATAGCTGCTTGGTGAAGACTGCACTTGGCATGTGTGTCAAATGACATAGTTCTTCTGAAATTCACCTGTTACAATTTCCACTGACCAGTCCCAGTTCATTGGGGGAATTTTGAGAGAAGTCGTTACTTCATTGCTATCCGATCGTTTTACAGTTTCCTGTAGATTCCCGGGTAGAAAATCCACTACCATCTGGTTATTTAACATAGCCATGGAAAATCCCTTACAAATGGAGGTTTTAATGGGAAAATCATCTATAAATGGGCCATTTTCAATAGTTATGTTAGTTTACCAGAGGGTAAGTAAACCAGTCCACAAAAAGCCCACAACACCAGTCCAACCAATCCAGTCGGACAGGGAGCAGACTTCGTGTGGTCCGGTGAAAACGCTTTGGCTGCTGCGGGACGCTGCAAGAGTTGGGAGGTGACGGGCCGGGTGGAGAGTTCTGGGGGGATTTGCGCTGAATCTGATTAAAATGACCCTACGGTAGTCAAAGAAGACAATGGGAAATCTCTGATAGATATTACCCTCTGGTAAACGTTTACATAACTATGGAAAATCACCATGTTTAATGGGAACATCACCTATTTCTATGGCCATTTTCAATAGCTTTTTGTATGTTTACCAGAGGGTAAGTTGAGGTTGTAATGAGAACATCATACATCAGCTATAAATGGGGGATGTTTCCACTGCCGTTTTTGATGACCGGAAGGTCATTTTTTTTGGGACCTTTGGGGGTTGGTCGCGTCGTTGTGGTAGCAATTTGCCCTGAATTTTGGTGATTTTTACTAAACACTATATACCCTCTGGTAATTTAACGTAACTATGGAAAATCACCATTGAAATAGTGAAATTTCCCATGAAAAATGGTGATTTTCCATAGTTACGTTAAATTACCAGAGGGTAAATGAAACCATCTCAACAATCCCATAGATGATGTCCTACCAACCGCTGCTTGGTTCATGACTTTGAACCATAGGTATACGGTGGCAAATTTTGTATAGCGGAATCAGCCCCGTCTAGTCTGCGAAAAGGACATCAACGATATCCCCATCAACAGCTGGAACTTGCGTTGTGTCATCATCTCCACAAGCGCCCCCCCGGTCAAAAAAAAGCGCTTATCAATTTTGTTGATTTGTATGAAAGAGCTTTCATTAATTAGTCCATAAAGATCAATACGTGCCATTTATATATATATATATGGTTTGAAATGATTATTATATATAGCTTAATCCCCAAACTACTCAAACATATTCTCAGTCCATTTTTGTCATGTCGCACGTCCAACATATTCTGACTTAAGGTTTTTCACAGTGGCTTGAACTGCCCTAAGCATCTTTGGGCTTTCGCTGCGAGGGGTCGGGATCTCGTTGGGAGGGGTCGGACCCCTCGACCCTCTGAGCGAGGGGTCGGGGCCCTCGTTCAAATTGAAACGAGGGGTCGCGAGGGGTCACGAGGGGTCATGAGGGGTCGCGACGTCTCGAGGGTGCTTGGAAGGTGGGTTTATAATGTTTTAGTGTGATATAGTGTGCTTTACATATTTGTTGGTTGTAGTATGTTGTAGTCAATTTTGGTACGTTCCAGGTAGATTGAGACCACAGTCTCTAGATAGACCCAGTTGTTCAAACCCCTTCTTGATCCTGAATTCTTATGGCAAAATGCCCGCTCCATTGTGCAAATAACCCGGTTAGTTGGCTGGATGACCTGCAAACATCGAAGCTGTCCAACGGAAGTAGAGGGAAATTGGTTACTGTACATTTTTGGAACCTAGAGTTTCCAGCAGAAAGAAAAGAACATCTAAGATCATATAAGACCATATAAGACACATTTTTCAAATGCTCACATGGACATAGTCAGATCGAAGTTTTTCTGTGAGATTCATAGTTCGAGTGGAAAATGGGGAGTGCTTTGATGGAATCATGTCCATCTAGCGGGTAGAAATTAGCGGGCTTTGCTTGAAAGGCATTTGTTTGATGATGTTTTATTGAGAATGCTTGACTGCAAAGCAAGTAACTTGTTTTTGCTGCATGGTTCAAGTTTCCAGGTATTTTTGAACACCAGACACATTTCAACCACCATATGGCCAGAACAAAAACATTGGTTTGAAAAGCAATATACATTCATTCAACAACATAATTATAAATTATAGTTATTAAATTGCTGTGCGTTATTTCCCTCGCGACTTCTGCCGTGTCACAAGTATCTTTATCACAATGCAAAATAATGCATTAATGATATTAAATGACATCATCCTGACAATGACAAAAAGTTGAACAGTTAGTTAATTACAAAGCAATTGATATCCGAGTAATTAGTCGCTTAAACAAACCAGTATGTATCGATCAAAGCATAGCCCGTATTATAACATAAGGTTCAAGAATATGGTGGATATCAAAGCTGATAAAGGCTCTAGGAGTTGAGGCGTTTCTATAGTCCAAATTTTGGATAGGACATTTTGAAGATCAAACAATCAATGTCTCCGATTTCCTTTTTTCTTCCCCCAGGGCTGGCACGTGTCAAAGCAACGCTGGGCAGAACAGCCAAAGAATACTGAACCTTGCATAATCCAACTCTGGGAAGTTCGCGACAAACCAAGTTTTTACCAGTATAGATGCATGACTAAATTTCAATCCAATTCTGGCTGCATCCCATATGATATTTGTTTGATTGCATGTTTTTAGCGTGCGCAATGGCGCGAAACAAATCCACTCTAAAGTGCTGCAATTCGCATGGATAAGGAATACATGCAAGTTGCTTAGAAAAATGGAGGCTTCAAAAACTGCCAAGAAAAAAAAAATCGTTCTGTCTTCCATTTACCTTCCATCTTAAGCAGAAAAAATGAATTCCAGGACTTTGCAAAAAATCAGAGGAAACCCACAGTTTTTTTCCGAAATGAAACCCGTGCCTGTGTCATCAGAAAACATAGCACCTTTACAGATCTTTACAGTCAGGCACATGAGAAACAGCGGACATTCAGAGAAAACAGAAAAACATTGGAAACATCGGAAAGCGCACCGCAAACATCCGAAATGCCATCAGAAGCATCGGAAACACATCGGAAAGGCATCGGAAAGACATCGGAAAGGCATCGGAAAGGAAATTGTGACCCCTCAAAATGCATTTGTTTTGACGTCCCGCAAGGACCCGGGCATCGGAAAGGCATCGGAAAGGCATCGAAAAACATCTGGAAACATTGGAAAGCATCGGGAAACATCGGAAAGCATCGGAAAGGAAAACATCGGAACCCCCCTGGAAGAACCTGAACAAGGATGGAAACTCCCGCTCTCTTTCGGACTCGTTGATTTGCAGTACAAAGCAGCCGCACTGGAGTTTGGAGATTGCAGTTTTTTGTATTTTAATTCCTTGCTTGTTTGCTCAGCAGTCAAGGTTGATAGGATGCTCGTGACAAACTAGTCCACCAAAAGAAAATTGTACGTCATATGAGGCTGTCAATGATTTCACTCAGGTTGCCTGGATTCCAAAATTAAATAGGGAGCAAATAAGTTGCAAGATTGTCTTTATTTGGAGGCCCTTCTTTAATTGGAAACACAAAGCCCGAATATATAATTATTATAACTATATATATATATATATATGTGTGTATGCATGTTTAATAGGACAAACACCACTGAACCGACTTTTTGATGGAGTCTGTTGAAGTCGTATCAAGTTAGACTTGCCTAGAACAGCCCAGCTACAATCATATTTCTTCTGTGTTACGTCTTTGAAACAAACGCTCCGTCAATAAAGCTTGAGAGCACACCTTTCAGTTTCGTGACCATTGCAGGCGCACACAAACTAGACTCCAGACTTTGCATTTTAACAAGCAATGTCCTTTTTCACATCGTTTTGGTTTGTCAGAACGGCGCCAATGCCAAGTTCAGGAAACTCCCTATGGGTTGCGTTTGACTTCCTTTGTAAAATGCCTCGCGTTTTGATTGCGCGGGGTTTTATTCAAAATAACTTGGCAATCAGCATACACACACACACACACACGCACACACACACACACTCAAACGCACAAGGTGATATTTGTCCAAGCAAGTGAAAAACACATTCAGAAAATTGCGTACTGGGATACTTTTTGTGGATGGTTGGACACCAGCATCAATGCAGACACTTCCTTCTACCGAGTTCATTCAAGTGCACGTCAGGAATCAAATCAGTACTGCTAGCAGGTAATTACATGCAGAATGCGTTTCTTCCTAGTCCTGTAGTGCATGATGCTGCCCGTCTGGACCACTGTCTGTGAGCATGTGTTTTTTACACATGTAGGCATAGGCAATGCGAAGAATATTCCGCCCTCCTCACTATCAAAATTGATCAAGACTATTTGTTTGCAAACAATTATGATGCTGGCTTTTATCAGGGAGAAAAATTATGTCGAAGCATGTATTGAATTTCAATAAACTCTGGCGACGCCAATAGTATGCGCCATTAGAAACTGGTAGGAAACGGGTCACATTTCTTGTCCACAGCGTTGAGTTGAGATGAATCCGGAATGGTTTATTGTATTCAAGTACCCTGCATAGGGTAGAGGTTACGGCTTGTCCTAATTCTGAAATTCTCAAGTTCGGCTAGCAACACAGCGCTTCTGATGAAAGTATTATTTTTATTGTCATTGTGGTTGTAGTCCGACGAAACCAGGGTTGACGGGGAAATATGGGTTGGAAAGTGCAATCGCATTAAAAGATTCTTGGGCCATCAAATTTGGGTACCTCATGGTACCTCGTGGACCCTCGCAAATGCCTGACCTTGGGATCCTTCTTTACGAGGTTCCAATCAAATTTGGATGCTTTGGGTGTATTGACTCCTGCAAGTGGTTGAACACTCCCCACGCAATTCTCGGTTCACACCCTAAAGTGCAGGGGCCTAAATTTGACTAGTGCCACCTATCCACCAGTTAAGACAAACCCATCCGATCATGTGTTGTATTTTATAATTTGTCCATAACAGTCTATAATCATACACGCTAACACCATATATTCAAACGCAGCAAGCGTGGCTCTCATGTGGCTCTACGCCCTGGGGCGTTTGCAACCTCACTTGGATGTGGACCTGGTAACCTTCAACGGGTGCAACTGCGTATAGAAAAATGATTAGATTCATGAATGCACAAAGGATCACAAAGGTATACACAACTATATTGGTTGATTCGGTGAAACAGTTGTTAGTTATTACATAATCATCAATCCCATTCATGAATATCAGTCAACAGAATCGTTTTTTTCCTGGATATAGCAAAATAATCCAAAATACGGAGGTTTCCATAAATGGAATTTCCCCCAAGTACATCCTGAATCATTTTCACAGGATTTTCCATGAAATAAACCATCCATAGAATTTTGAGGTACCCCCATTGATGCAGGCGCTTCACTTCATGGTGCTGGCGCAAGTGACGTTGGAGACCTGGGCGGCGTCTCCTGACGGAGTGGGGTTTCGCCATGAAATGTCAGGGGGGATTCTTCGAAATTTGTGCCTTCAAAAACAATCGAATAACAATGAAACCAGGGAAATCCAAAATAATCCAACCAAACAACATGGTGATCACTTTTTCGATTAACCTTAAAGTTAATCGGCTGAAACCACCAGCCGGAAAGTGCAAGGTAGTGTTTTTTTCAATTGCAATCACAAGGTTTACATATACATGATGTTTTTTGTATACTATGTTCAACAAGGAATATGAATTTATCAATCAACCATCTATGATTTGAATTAACACAAACAAACTAAATTTTGTTCAACAAGACTTGTCTCGTCAACGAACAAACAAAGCATGCGTGAACGGACCGTTGGACCAGGTGATGCCCAAGAGGAGTACTGATCAAAGCTGGGTGGATCCGTGATGTCTATGATATGCAACCCATGGTGCTGGAAGATTTACCAACAAAACTGGGTATTTTTGTTTGTGTAAATGTTGGTAGAATCTTCCATGGAGCATTAAATAAGTATGGGTCCCAGTATGGGTCATAGATGGTCAATATGAGTTGTATGTTCTCAGGTTTTTTGGCACGGCACTTCCAGGTCTCCAACTCATTTCCGGGCCATGGTTGGCTGCGGGGTAAAGGTCTTCCCTGGAGATTGGAAATTTCCGCAACGGCAACGGATCAGATTCAATATTCTCATGGTTTGTTCCCTTAAAATCTCCACTTTGGTTTGTTGAATGCTACAGTTTTCCCAAATGGTTGCTGCTTGAATTCCCAGTGCTGTTGGTCGAAGTCACCAGATGTTGCTTTGTTGAATCCCATTAACCCTCATGCAGTGGAAGTCCCTGTTGATACTTCAAGGGCTTCAACCGCCATGTTTCACTCACCGGGTTGACCGCAACGGGAGTCCATGTTTCTGGTAAATTATAACGACCTCAATGTTCTCCCTCACTGGAAGAATGGTTAGGATTCGGGGAATTACCCCAATATTTAGATTGCATAGTGAGTATCCCAAAATTTAGATTCCTTGCTTAGTAATAAAAAAACAGTTATTTCAGGTTAGTGAATTACTATAATTTACCCAGATATATGGATTATATAATTGAATATGATTTAGATTTATTATGAATTATGATTTAGATATACGTATATATATATATTATTGAATATATATATATATATATTTGGATATATTGTTGAATAATATTATTATATTATGATATCATAATATGTTTCTAAAAAAAATGGTGTTTCTCCAAGGCAAGTGGCTTTCCTGGGGGCCTTGGATGGAAACCACCTTCCATCCCTCCGCGTCCTGGAGAACGCTGGCTTCAACTTCCGTTCGGAGCCATGGCCTTGAGCCGCCGTGGCCTTGGTGTTGTTTTTTTTTTTTGAAGGGGGAACTTACCCTCTGGTTATGTCAAAATAGCGATTGAAAATGGCCATTTATAGTGAGTTTTCCCATTGAAAATGGTGATTTTCTATAGTTATGTAAACGTTTACCAGAGGGTAACCTATCAAAACATCATAAGGTACTTACCCTCTGGTAAACTAACAAAAAGCGATTGAAAATGGCCATTGAAATAGGTGAGTTTTCCCATGAAAAATGGTGGATCTTTCCATAGTTATGTAAACGTTTACCAGAGGGTAAGTACCAACATATAACCATAAAATGTACTTGTGGTATATCAGGTACCATAAACACATAACTATAAATGGTACATGATCTATGTATAGATATAATGGTACTATCATGACCCAAGTTTTTTCAATTTTGAGGATGATGAAGGATTACTAAGGTATACTCAGAAATATGAGGAGGAGTTTATTATATACTCTATTTCAATAGATCCGCAAAAATGGATAAACATGATGGATTATGAAGGGGTCTCTCATTTTTAGAAACCAAGCATTTAGGGAAAGGACAAGTCCAGGTGTTCCTCCGTTAAGTTTCGAACGTGTCGGCATTTCTTGTGGTTTCTTTCCGATATGTTTCTACTTCCCATATGCTCCATGTATGGTATTTTTACCTACGTTTGGGTGATTTTTAGGGCAAATGTTGGTAAATATTCCATACATGGAGCATATGGGTATGTAGATGTTGTGTTACTGAGAATGGACGCTGGCGCTGGCAATGGTCTTTTCCCCTATCAATTTATGGATGACGCTCCGAACGGAAACGTGGTGATTGCTATGTCGGTTTGCCCAGTTCCAATGTATTATTATCATTTATTATCACTAATGTTGGTAAAACAATGCCATAAACAACCCATGACTGGGAATGGTTTATATATACCACCTACAAATTTATAGTGATGACTGGAAGATGGTGCGTTTATAGCATTGTTTGACCCACATGATGTCTATTAAGCCATTTGGGTGTATACTGTATACCTCATCTTTTCAGACACACCCGTGTTGTGCCAGAGAGGGTTGCCAGGAACGCTCCGACATTACCATCGAGAATGCCAACGTCACCGATCCCTATGTGCAGCAATTTCTGGCGGATGCCCGTGCTCGGCGTTGCGTGGCATTTCTTACGGGGCTGTGTTTTTGCAACTCAAGGCATGGCAAACCTACTGTGTATTTGTATGGAGGGATTTTGAAATAATATAACATAAATTAAAACAATATAATAGCGTTTTCGGACATCAATGCAAATGATCATTGTTGTTTTTCGAACCCCCCCAAGAAAAATATAGGCAGTGTTCACAACTGCGGTTGGCTGATGATGAGGGAATTACCAGCCAGTTTTTCGGGACGACTTGGCCACGTAGATTTACTTGGCCCTACCACAAGGCTGGTGCGTTTCTTCACCCATTTGTTCAACGTTTTGGGATACAATGTCACCATTTTCATCTACGATCATATCAACAATATTTTTCATGCAAGGTGGTGTCCCCCCCAGTTGTGTTTGTTGGTTTATAAACCATAGTAACTACAATATATATATATATATTGTATAATTTATGTAGTGTGGGTAAAACAAAAAGACACAATCCCCCAAATCATCATAACTTGGTGGTAAAATCCATTCTAAATGGGTGGTTTACTATTTTTTACTCACATTATATGTATAGATAGCTATATATAATTATTCATACATATAATAATGATGATAATAATAGTTAATGATAATAGCAATAATAATAATGAATAATGATAGAACCCAAAACAATATATATATATATATACACATCTACAGTACCATAAACCCTAGTCAACTTTGCTAAGTGTGGGTACCATATTGTAAGAGTATATTGTATCAATACAACTGTCACATCCCTCGGTGCCCTCCACGGTTTTTATGTGTTGGTTCATAAATCCAAAGTCACTGATTAAGCAACACACAGCTAATCTACTTATAGTAGATATTATTATCCAATTACGAGTCTGCTCCAATACTAATGATAGTCAACCTACTGTTAGCCTGGATAATATGTTTTGACACTGTTTATTACACTAATAAATATCATAAATGATGTGATTTGCCATAAACCTGGTTCTTGGAGTAATCAAACAAACTATATAACTATTATCATTAGTAGATATGATAACATATATATATATATATTCATACATATTCTCCAAATACAAGTGTTATCCAACACTACTCATGCAGTTAACACCTGTTTTTTCCTAGATATTTTCATAGTCCACCTGGACATGTTTTGCATTTCCACCGTCAGTTGCGAGGTAGTGCCCCAGTAACTCAGTAACTGTACATATATCTATCATGTAAAGCACAACCTTATTGGAGTTGTGTAGTCTCCAACTTAGCTCTCCCCCCAACAAAAGCTCTAAATCCCATGAAATCACACTGTTTCGTGCTGTTTTAAGTTCCCATCTTCCTATGGTTTCACGTGGTTTTTCTAGGGTTTTCCCATGTTTTTTCTCATGTTTTCTATGGTTGTTCAGGGTTTTTCTAGGGTTTTATATTGTTTTTCTATGGTTTCTAAGTTTTTTTCTAGCGTTTTCTATTGTTTTTTTAAGGGTTTTCTAGGGGAACCCCACCTTTTTTTGGGAGGTTTCACCAATTTTCCCCGGCGTCGAGGCCTGGAGAAGAACCTGTCGCAGGTGTCGCAGGTCCTGGTGAGCCACGCAGAAACGGCCTTCGCCGCGGCGCGGCGCGGCAGCCAACTCGTGGCGGAGGCACAGTTTTTGTGGGGATGCTATGGGAATATGATATGATATATATATATATATAATTATATATACCCCCTGGTTATTTAACATAGCCATGGAAAATCACCATTTTTTAAAGGTAAACCATCTATATACATTTATATGTATATATGGGTAGATCATCCCCAAATGACCTTATTTCAGGTTAGTGAAATATTATAATTTACCCAGATGTATATATATATATACATATATATATATATTGATTACCAACAATAGAAATAGAAATGTAGTCATTTTTTTTGCATACATGAGTTACATCAGTATTTTGCACCTGTATGCATGCATAGATCCTCAGCGATATATCTGGGGAAATTGTAACGACCTCACTGCTTTCCCTCACTGGACATCATGGTTAGGAAGGGGAATCATCCCCAAATAGCTTTATTTCAGGTTAGTGAAATATGATCATTTACCCAGATATATGATAGCCAATATTAGTATGTTGAAGGATTTAATGGAGTTAATGGGATATACTGGGGTTTAATGGGATTTAATGGGATGTAATGGGATTTAAAACGATTTAATGGGATTTAAGGGGATTTAATGGGATTTAATGAGATTTAATGGGATTTAATGGGATTTAATGGGATTTATTGAGATTTAATGGGATTGAATTGGATTTAATGAGATTTAATGGGGTTTAATGGGATATTTTGGATATATAATAGATATACCCTCTGGTAATTCAACATAGCTATTGAACATGGCCATGGAAATAGTTGATTTTGCCATGAAGAATGCTGATGTTCCATAGTTATGTTAGTTTACCAGAGGGTATATCTCTATCTATACATATATATATATATTATCTATTATGTTATATATGTATATGTATCGATCTATCATATCTAATTATTATGTATAAAACTGTATATATGTATGTGTGTGTGGATACTAAATATGATGTGGATATATGTATTCTTAATTCTTAATATTGTTGAACTTGAATATACATTATATATTATGTAAGAATACAGTATATGTAAGACTATATGTATGCGCAGATAAATTTTAACAAAACGTTTTTTTCCAAAGGATATGGGTGTTTGAATATGTTTGAACGGGGCTTATTTAGGGTTATTTAGTTGATGAGTTGATGCTTGGTGACGAAGTAGTGTTATCCCAGCTGGTTGAGGCTATGAACCAACCATAACCAAGTGGTATTTCACGGGACGGGTTAGTCTAGACGTATTTGTTCTTGATACCTCTAGGATGATAATCGTTGGGTATAGACTGGGTACTTGTTGGGTATAGGTCAAGATGAAACCACGTAACGGAACATGAGATATAGATGAATAGATGAACCAAGATGGATGATCTTTGCGAGGATTTTTCATGGCGGCCCATCGAGGTCGATGATTTACCTTGAAATTGTGATTTTCAATGACCAGAAATATCAAATTACCAGAGGGTAAATCACAGATACTACTTGAATTTTACCATCAGGTTTTTCAATTTTACCGAACTTTCAAATTACCAGAGGGTCGATACTGAAGCCGATGTTCCGTTTGTCTGTCAATTGTGCAATCACCAGTTGGATCTTTGGAAAAAAAAGGAGCTGATGCTGGGATGACCTATTCAATTCTGAAAGGTACTGCACACGATGTTTTAGAGCAATTCTTGGATCTTGTCAAAATTTGCCAAGTAGTTCGGACATTATAAACCCTCATAAGTGGTACGGTATTAATTACCCCATATAGATTCTACAACTTTCAAATTCTGGCAACATCTAAGTATAGCACAACAAAAACTCATGGCAGCTTCTGCGAGTTCAGCGTTAGGCTCTACGGAAACACATGGAACTGCTGGAAGAGCAGCTTGGCTCTACGGGGTCCCTTTCAAGGTCTCCATAGAAATCGCAACCCCAAGTCGCAGTTGAAAACTAGCACTTTGCCAATCCAGTTCTTTGAGGCTATCCATACAACTGTAACTGGTGGCCCTCTAGTACCGGCCATTTGTATTCGTTTGTCACGTGTATACACGTTGGTGTTGTTTGACATTGTTATTTAATGTTATGTAATGTTTTTATTGTTCTTATGTTGGAAGAGTCCCGGAAAGCAGGGCCTGCAACTTACTTACTTATGACGTGCGCAGCTGGCAAGACAACATAATACCACTTTCATGTGCTGGTACGATGCTCTCTTCTCAATTTTCAGGAACCAAAAAGCACCAATTCATTTTACGATGTTCAGGATACATAATGTAAAAAAGGAACTTTCATGTTCATATTATTCTTATGATTTTGTCTCAGAAATGGTTCAGTTTCAACTTGCGAATATACCCTATTGATCCAAACACTGTCTGAGAAGGTACTCAATCCCCTGCCCTAAATCATACCCCAAATAAAATACTTCCTACAATGTGGCCCCCCCGAGTTATAAGTTGGTTTATAAGCCCCAGTAACTATAGTTATAAGTACCATAAACCATAGTTATTGGAGTTATAAACAAACTTAGCTATGTTGGGGGCCTCACATTGTAGGGATATATTTAAAACAGAAGCCTTTGCTTCACCACAGAATGCCCGAAGTGTTCCACGAGATTGAGCGCTCAGTGACTCAGGCAGACCTTTCTCGTAGCTCGAGCACTTGCTGAACACGTCACAGATGTGGCCACAAGCGGGGTCCTTTGGCAATTTGTTTTGTGTGATCCCCAAGTTATGGATGGTTTCTTTCATGGAAAATCATATCAAATATGGATGATAAATGGGGTATCCCTATAACTTAGGAAACATCCATCTTCTCATGAAATGTGGGTTTCTCCAAAAGTGGGGAAAAATATCAAAAACCACATTTATGTATGGATAATTATGGATACATAAGAAAACCTTGTAGACATGATATACTGATATAGCCTTTTTCAACATGACAATTTTCAAGGAAGCCCTGGATTCGATGTGGCACAATTCAAATTTTTGAGGCATCCAACAAAAATTGAACCCCACACAGCTTAACATATTTAAATCCCCTATGGATCCAGCCGTAGCTTCTTAGGAAGTATGACTGGGGTATGATGACTAGGGGGTGTTTTGTACCTTCTCAGACAGTGGCCATGGATCCATAGGGAATATATTTCAAGTGACCTATGCCATCCTATGCCGCCCTTTCTCGCACCACTAGTGGTTGACCCGTATAGAGCACAGTTCCGTTGCTAAGGACGTGGTGGCTTCTGCGTTGGCGCAGCACTTGCTGTGTCCGATCAACGAGACCGAGCAAGAAGTGGTTTTTTGCCCGTGCAGAAAGCCCTGTGCACTGGGGATATACAATGGGGATGCGGGTAGTAGGAATAGGTTGACTAGCCATTGATGGGATGCAAAACTCATCATTTATAGGTGTTTTAACCGAAAAGATATGAGGATATGCTGATGAATGAAGATTGGTTGATGATTATGATTTTCGGGGGTGATACTACCCTGCATATATTTTCTGAAGCAACCAATGTAGTGGGTTCAGACAGTTTTGAACAGTGCTGAATTGGATTTCTTCATCGTTGGGGTAAATGTAGTCAAGTGAGTCGAGAGACCTTTTTTTCAACAATACCCTCTGGTTATTTAACATAGCCATGTAAAATGGTCCATTTACAGATGATTTTCCCATGAAAACCTCCATTTATCAGGGATTTTCCATGGCTATGTTAAATGACCAGATGGTAAAAGAAGCCCATTCTGGTGGGTATGTGGAGCCTCGTATGTTTGGCCTGCAATGCGTGGTTGAATCTGTACATCAGTTCTAGTTTGTTGCGGCATAGGATCCCTTCCATGATACAATATTTGATATCCCCAAATGCAAACATGGATTTAGTCTTGGATCCATATACAGTATTTTGAGGGCCCAATTTGAGGGAATTGAATATTCAGCAGATGGGATCATATCCACACTATCATTATAATTATATATATAATTATATATATATATGATTATATATGTACAGCGCCCGCACCTTTCTCTACCTTCTGCCGAACATCCCCTACAATCAACTAATTTTATGTATTTGGATCAAACACCCCATTTTGGGCTGTTAAACCTTTACATGAACCCAATTTTAGAGACTAAACAAAACAACTACATTCCTTTATTGCTGGCCGAATCTTTGTTGGTCAAATCCTCCATGATATCGGGCTGGGATCAACTCAAGGCTACAGCCCTGGCGCAACACATGTTGGCAGAGGGGGAGTGCAGCTTGGCTGAATCGAAACGGGAAACACGACGAGCTAAAGATTGAAAATTTGCTACAGCTTGTCATGAGAATCTTCAACAAAACTGGAATCAGAAACTTGCATTGGGAAGTCTTGGCCTTTCAAACAACACATTATTTGCACGCGCAGCCGTCCCAGGTGATGGTGTCCTTCCACCGGGCAGAACACCTTCGTCCTGTGCCCTGGCGGGGACCAGTTGGGATGAGGTCAGTGAAATGGTGGGGGACTATGATGGTATTTATATATGAAAATATATCGGGGCTATCAGGGGGACAGTGTAGCTTTGGTCATCCACAGAAATATATATATATATAATTATATATAATTATATATATATGATTATATATATATAATTGAACATCATCATATCCCTATGGATATCTATGGATCCAGCCGTAGCTTCTAAACGGAAGTATGACTGGGGTATGATGATTTAGGGGGTGTCCCAGCCGTACCTTCTCAGTGGCCATGGATCCATAGGGCTGGTGATGGTGGAATTCACAGGGAATCGATGTGTCTCGTCGGTGAAATCATCATTGGGTGTGTCCCCTGGTAGACATGGGTTAAAACAACCCCCAAGAAACAGCGAAACAAAAAAACAACACGTTTGAACCAATCAATAGCTTCTATCACTTTAACAGACTTACAGTAGAGGTTTCCTAAGTCATTGGGGGTTCATCCAAGCCATGAATGACTACTTTAGTTTTCCCAACAAAACCATGGTGACTAAGGGGATACTTCCATTTTAGAACACCCCTCTAATGGCTCGCGCCTTCTCTGGTATTGGAAGCGGAAACTCTGCTCCTTCCAGGTAGCCGCAGTTCTCGTTCTCGGGACATCCATAGCACCGGAGATTCCAGTGCGCAAGACTCTTGCGAAGCTAGAGCAATGGCCAGCCGCTTATTGTTCCTTGCTGCAGCCTTGATGAACAGAAGATACCCAACCTGGTTATGTTGATTTAAAGCCATCAAAACCGAAACCCATGGGTTAAATGGGTGATGACTAATGGTGGTTGAATGGAGATCTAATGGGATTTACCCAACCTGGTTATTTTCCTAACAGTTCGCCATGGTTTTGCCATGGCCCATTTATCGAAATAGATGATAAACACCGAACTTAATAGCATGGGTGGATCTTTCCATGGCGAACTGTGAAATAACCAGATGGTATATGGGTTCAGTTTAAGAAAGCTGTTCCGAATTAAGCAAGGTTTGTTTCCGAAGGATTGACGGTTAGCAATTACAACATTGGGGGTTCACAGTCACAAACATGGGAGTCGACCACCAAAAACTATGGGATTCACTTGGGTGGACACTTAAAATAAATTAATTAAACTAGTATGTTGACTTTTTGTTTTGCACCTTTTGTTGCCTCGCATGTTACAGATTCATCAGTGTGAAATGCCATTTGTTTCAAAGATTTGCCACTGCCAAGAGAAGTCGAAAATTGTGATCTTCTATCATAGTTATTTAATCCAGCTCTGCCCATTCCGAAAAATTGTTTCAACTTCTGTTTTTTTGATCAGACATTGAGATCCAAAGTCTTATGGTGTCAGATGCTTTCAACAGTCTTACTCGCAGGATACTGACCTTGCCCAAAGGAACTGCAGAGGTTCACTTTTGTTTCACCAGCCCATTGTCCCCATTATCCTTCGACCCCAGCTGTCAACTCCTCAACACTAACTGCTGGTTTTCTGTGTGTCCTTTTTTGCACACAGATTTTTGAGAAGAACGATTGTTCGAGAAGAATGCGCAAAGTTGTGTTTAAACATGCAACCCTAGCCATTCTTCTCAAAAATCCTTCTCAAGAATCCTTCTCCTCACTTTTTTTGGTGAAAAACTGTTCTGCAATTTCCACCAGAGAAATTTCTGATGAGAACGATTGCTCTCGTGAGAACGATTGCGTCTCGTGAGACCGATCTTTGATTGAAATGTGCGAGAGAACGATGCAATGTCACTTCACAGGGGGGAGCTTGATCATTGTCATTTTTTTGGGGCCAAACATGTGCTCAAACATGGCCCATGAGAATGGTGAGTGACTTAACATGCACTTTCCCAGTGAGAATGTGTAATCACAGCTTAGAAGTTATGTTGAATTACCAGAGGGCAATGTCTAGACCCTAAGAACAAAAACAATTCTTTGAGGCAAATCAAAACCACATGTGGTCAGATTAGGGCTGGTGTATGATTGGATTTACAACATTAGGCCACACAATGGTGGCATGTCTTATGGGTACTGCCATGACCGGTATGGCATTGTATGACACCGGAGGGATCCGGAGGGTTTGGTCCGATTGAATATCCCCATTATATCCCACTATACACAATCTATATACCCACTACTGTATCTATCCACTATATTATATATTATATATATATATTAGTATGTTATTGTATATCTATATATAACTATTATATATATATTGTATATTATATATATATTATATATTATATATATATTATATATATATATTATATATATATAATATATATATATATATATTATATATTATAATATATATATATATTGTACTATTATCTATAGTATATGTATATATATATATATTATATTAAAGGTTTTATTATTCCATTACATATCATTAAAATGACTCACATCAACTGCTGGGCCTGCCATTTTGATCAGCCTGAGGTTCTTTCACGTGCAGGACACCGGGTTAACCCATAGTGAGATAACTCCTCTGTTTAACCATATGGTTATCACCCATATAATATGGTTAATATTATGGTGATCCCATATATGATTAATATCTCATATGTGATAGAGCAGCATGGTCATTTCACAAGAGCAACTAATGATATTAGGGTGGTTTAAGTGAAATGGGGCTTTTTTCCCTGGCCTAACATCAAAAAGACCTCTAACAGAATAGCTTCATAAACCGCTGTATGAAATGATATGATTTTTATTTGTTGCTAGGATTTTATCAAAACCGACATGTAGCTTTAATCGAGCTACTGGATCATGTAATTTGAGGCCATTTGACGTCAATTTCCAGAAATGAAAGAGACTGGCCCTCAAAGATCAAGGGTACCAAGGGTAGCAAGCATTTTAACCCCATAGAATTGAAGTGAAACCTATGGATTAAGGGTCCTTTAAAGGATAGAACCGTACATTAGAATCAACCTAGCGGGCATTCAAAATGCTCTGTGTATGGAGTATGTTTGAACAGCAACTACTATCGACACAAAAAAATAACTCATTCACGCAAATGTACACCACATGGAGCATTTTATTTTGAGAATGTCTTAATCCTGAAAGCAACCAAAAACATGGGAGCATGTTGGGTGTTTTGATTTCTTTCAGCATTGAGAGCTCATTCATGGGTAAGATTGCAACATAGATTAACATGTTGTTTTACATTTAATATATTGCTTAATATCTTAATATGTTTACATTTGCTGTTGACATATTAGGACATACTAATAAGATCTAATAAGATATTTGAATAATTATTCCATATTCATATATGTTTAAAAACAAAAGCGTTACAACAATATAACAATTATAATATGTTATAGTATGTTGCAAATTTACAATTATAATATAGTGACGGACAATCACTTAGAACGTATTTTTTTTTTCCATTTTTTTTTTCCGTACTTAGAACGTAGCAAAATTTCATCACTTAGAACGTAGGGAAAATTCATCACTTAGAACGTCAAAATATCACTTAGGCCCATTTATCACTTAGAACGTAAACCAACACTTAGAACGTGCTAAGTGATTGTCCGCACTTGTAAACAATTGTCAGCATATGTATGCACACGTATATATATATATACACATAGCTTCTTGAAGTGCGTCACCAATACATGTCTATTTGGTCCCTGAGTGGCTTCGCTGAGTGCGGCAACATGATTTCACAAGCCTTTCCACTATCATCAGTGACCTAGACACGTTCTAAGTGTTAAATCCCCGGTACGTTCTAAGTGATGAATCTTGATATTTGGACGTTCTAAGTGTATGGTTTTCGACGTTCTAAGTGCAAGGCTTAGAACGTAAAAAAAGCAGTAATATTCAGATTTTTTTTTCCAAAATACGTTCTAAGTGATTGTCCGTCACTATATATTATAATGTCTCGTGCCACTGTCTTCTTATTGTTCCATGTTTTTTTTCTCTCCAGGACGCACGACCTGCCTCCGGAGGCTCCGGAGGTCGGGTCGAAGGAGAGATGTTTTTTTAAGGACACCCGAAATAGATAGAAAACCATAGGAAAACCATAGGAAATACATATGTTATACATATGTTATGTGTTTTTTCCGGATTTTTTTCCAGGATGGGTAACTTTTCAGGATGGGTGACTATACATCCTGATCCATCCTGGGGTTTTCCATCCTGGAAACACGACTTTTCCCTGTTGCTGGAAGGATTACTACTATATAGGCTTGACTCCTGATCATTGGGGGATAAAGAATGGTATATAGAAAGAACAATTTCCTGTAGATGTTCCCTGAGAATCAATGTGTTGAACAAATTTTATATTCTGCGGCCCTCCCGCAATGTAAGTCTGGTGGTGACTGCTGGTGGGTTCAGGAATAACCACCAAAAAAACACAGATTTGTGTTTTCTACAACTCATTTAACAATTGGGTCAGGAACAATTGAAGAGACAAAAACTTGGTTAAGGGACAATTATTACATAGGGATCATTTGTCAGCGCCTGTTTACACTTCTTCTTGCCGCAGCATCCGATATCCCCTGCAGGTAGCAGACCAAGCAGACCCACGAGTGGTTCAAAGAGTTGTCGGGACGTGCACAGTGCGGGCGGGTCCAGTGCAGGCGATAGCCAGGAAGCACAAGCGTTGGCGAGTCGTTTGTTGCCACTCGTCGCCAAGGAATTGTGGGATCATGGAGTTTCTAGCACATTGAGATGATGTGAAGTAATGATTCTGGTGTTTTTTTTTACGCTGATATTTTGCAGTTATATTTTATACCCTCTGGTAAACTAACATAACTATGGAAAATCACAATTGCTAGTGGGTAAATCAACTATAAATGGCCATTTTCAATAGCTTTTTGTATGTTTACCAGAGGGTACATCCTGGATCTTCAAACGCCCATCTATGTTTTGGTTGCTGCGGTTGTTGCACACTTTTGTTCGGAGTCGACCACAAAAAGTGGTAGTTTACCAAAACGAATGTTTTTGATTGTTTTTGAAAGAACTGGCATTGACATACATTAATTTGGGAATTTTGTGATTTTGTGGCCCAGAATGCCTTGATCCAGCAAAAATAGCTCTGGACCCCAGTGTGGGTTTCAACAATTCCCTGATAGATTGTTCCATTGGATTTGGCTTGCGCAGGTTTGTTTCCAAGAGAGGTGACGACAGAAAACACCTAAAAAGTTTGTGCAAATCCTGAATTTAAGCAAGAATCCGCGACTAATTTTGTGTTCAAAACGCCTACAACAACTCTCAAAACGCTAGCAAACCCATCAAACGGCTACAAACCAGGAAAAGTTGGTCAAATATGTTTTTTTGTTCTAATCCTGCCGTGGTTGTGCTGGTGGTCAATGACTCCTTCTGATAATTTGGATTGGCACTTTAGACATTGGACCATAGCTATGGTCAAAGCTAGGCGCCCTACCATGTTTCCAAGTCCCAAAGAAAAACGAAAAGACATGTACTGACATATCATAGGCCTCATCGCCATTGCACCTGCATAGCTGGCTGAACCCACACGACCATTTTTTCTGGAAAAAACCAAATGGACTGTATATATTTTTTGGAAACGCCTAGTTTTAGCAGTACAATTCACATCGTCCAGATTTTTTTGGGTAGAACGAAGATCCAGGATGGGGTTAAAGCCCAGATATGAACCTCTAGGTCTTGTTAGTCATGAAATGATCAGTTGCTGGATGGTAGCTAGCGGAACTCTGAAGCCTGCCAGAGCAAGAAGTGTTTCATCTTTTATTCACTAATTTGTTCTATCATATCAAGATAGCATGTAGGTTACGTATGTGCATAGAAAAAAATGTTTGGACTACACCAGGACCATTTTGCACTAGACGGCATTGGGACCGGAAAAAAAAACGCTTCGATTCCAATCAGCTGAATTCTGATCCCATTTGCTCAGGTTTCCTACAAAGTATTTGTTTTAGATAAACAGCCACATGAGGGTAGGAAATTGGTCATTTCACCCCTTCAATTTGCCCGTTATGTTATCCCATGCAGCCTGGACAACCCATGAACACCCTGTCACCAGGGGGTTGGGAGCATCCACTGGTATTTGGGGTGATCGACAACGCCGATCTAGTCGCGTTGTCGAGGTTCTTCCATGCCATGGAGCAGCGCTCAGTAGCTGAGCAAAGCAGTCAGAGTCGGCAGCGAATCGGACCGTGTTGATATCGTAAATTCCCCATATATTTGTTGCGTAAAGAACAAATTGCCGCTTCCGAAAGGTATGTTGAATCCTTGAAATTCGCACCAAAAACAGCCTCTAGACTTACAGATTGTAGTTCACCTTCACACAGAGCTTTCAGTCGAAGCCCTTTACCAGTTATAGGACGATCATTCCTAAATGGGCTTATATTTTTGTTATAATTGACTTTATAAGTAGCATTTTGGGCCATAACTGGTTGGTGGTTTGGAACATTTTTTATTTTCCCCAATAGTTGGGATGATGATCCAATCTGACTTTCAGATTTTTCAGGGGGGTTGAAACCACCAATTAGATAACTGTAGTCCCCCTAAAATCCCTGCAATCCACTGCGCTCCATCGAGGCAACGCCTTCCGAAGGCCCCCAGGGCCCCCAGCCTCCGCCCGAGCGCCCGCGTGGTGCCAGCGGTGCGGAGTTTCTGTTGGTCTCGCGGGCCTTGGCGGAGCATGTGCTAAGTGCCTTGGTGATGACGTGGAGTTCACGCAGATTTCAATGGATCCGAAATTGATGTAAAAACTACAGTAATTATATATTTATGAATTACATCTTATTACAGGTATAATTGGGTTTAAAGTTATAGTCATAGTTATACATGAAAGTTATTGTTTATACATAATTTATACATGAATATTCCATGATTCATGAACGTTCTGACTTGGACTCTGACAGTTTTTCAGAACAGGCAAACCATGATGGTTGAAGCATAAGGAAGTGGAAGCTCCATATGGAGGTTTCCTACAAGGTGCCCCTCTTGTTCGTTTCCTAAGCTGATCATTTATAACTCCAATCATGTTTGGGATTGTTTGGGTTTATGGTAGATTTATCATGATTTATCTATAGTTACTAGATTTGTAATGATTTATGAACCAAGAAACATAACTAGGGGGCACCAAATCATCCAAGCAATGGATGACCATGACTTAGTATTGTTTTACAACCATGGTGACTTGTGGATCCACCAACCCTTGTTGATGGGGTAACAATCCAGAACGGGTCCCCATGGGGGGTGGAGACATGCGTATTGTAGAAGCGCTTTTTTTTTCTTTGCAGATTGCAAAATCAGACCTTTCACAACTCCATAACAAAAAGATACAAAAAGGGGGTACACTAATCCTTTTATCTTATAATATAAAACGTTCCTCCCGACCCTCCTAAATAGTAAAATGTAAAAACCTATAGGTGTATTTTTTTAATCATTAGAATAAGGTATTTAGTAATTAGGGTTCGAAGCTGTCCCCTAATATTACCAGGTAATTTTAAAACCTACAAAAACTCCTAATAATATGTTCGATTTCAAAATCGATCAAATCCCTTTTAAAATCCGATTAAATAGTGCCAACAATTGGATTTCGAAGCTTTTCCCCAAGATTAAACTTAAAACCTTATTCGATAAAAACAAGATGTTCGATTTCAAAGTCGGTCAAATTCATTTTCAAAATCTCATGAACATATAGCCAAAAATTGGATTTCGAAGCTCTCCCCTCATACCAAGTTTAAAACCTTAAGCATCAATTTACTAAAGTGTTGATTTGAAAAGACGGACCACAATAAAAACAACATCCCGGAGTTATATAACTAATTTTTGTGATTAGGGGGGTGGAACCTCCAATTTCAAATTGGGCCTTGATGTTAAAATTCTTGTTTGAATGGGATCGATCAAAAATCAAATTGACAAATCCATAATTTCCCAAAACGAACAATCTGAGGTAGCTTTTATGATTTTATGATGTGGCAGTGTGTCAAAACCTTGTACCCCTTTTGTTCACATCAAAATAGCTGGGATTTATGGATGTTCATCCCCCTAAAAATGGTATTCATAGGTATTGATCCATACCCATGTGGGAAGGTTTTTGTAATAAGAAGGGATTGGCTGGTTTGTTGGAATTGTTGGAATTGCAGCAGCAGGGAGTGATGATTGGAGTCTAGTGCTGTCAGTGTACACCATGTCATCCTGGGACTACTTGGTGATCTTGGGAAGCCGGTGACACAACGGAGCCATGGGATCCCACATGATAAGTACCTGGACATACCTGGACAGTCCATTTCTCTACACACATCCATAAACAAACATTAAAAAAACACATGTGTTTTACCGATAGTTTTAGTACTTTTATAATGATTCATAATGATTCATATTTGGTTTGGCTACTCTGAGTGTCTTGTTACATACCAAAATCTGAAATAAACTTGGAATGGGTTTAGACATATTAAGAACCCAAATCTACAGGGAAAAAAGGGGTACCCGATGGACTGAACTGGTATGGTTTGCATTTCTTCATGGGAGAAATGGACACTATATAAGTAACTGGTTGGTGGTTTGGAACATAAATTTTATTTTTCCATTCAGTTGGGAATTTCATCATCCCAACTGACTTTCACTCCATCATTTTGCAGAGGGGTAGGTAGGTATAGGGTATACCACCAACCAGCAAAATATAACCATAAAATGTACTTTGGTATATCAGGTACCATAAAAAACATAACTATAAATGGTACATGAGATATATCCAGGTTTCATGTTTTTCCTAAAGTGAATCCCATGGACATTTTCATGGACATCCCGGCAGATTGTCTGTGAATCCTCATGTTTTCCAAGATCCCCATGGCTTTTTTTCGCCATCGCATATCGAGTAACGCTTCAAACTAAGAATGACTAGCTATGATTGGACAGAAGAGAGAGTCAGTTTACATAAATCATGATAAATCATATTTATATATATACACATGTATATAGCTTGAAATGGTTAACCAACAAAAACTAGCATATCATTATCATCAATCATCGATGTTCAACTGACATAATAGTCGATGAAACTGCCGCTTAGGTCACGCTGGAGACGGATCGACAGACGCGGCGCTGGCGTCGCATGTGGTGTCTCTGTATGACGATCAGATGGAGGTCGCTAGGGTGTCTCGGAGGATGAACGATATGTGGTGCCCAATGGGGAGACAATGTGGTGCCCAATATATAGTACATATATAATGTATATTATATATATACAGTATATATACATAATATACATACATATACCCATGTAAATATAATGTATATGTATATATATATTAAATTATAAATGTGGGCAAATCATAACGACCTCACTGTTCTCCCTCGCTGGACTGATGGTTTAACGGATTGGGGGAATCATCGCCGAAAAACGTTGTTTGTTTTCAGGTTAATGACATATTAACATTTACTAACTATTTCCTATGTCATTAACCTGAAATGTTAGTATTTCCATATACAACTATTGAATATCATATTAACTATTGAATATCATATTAACTATTGATATACAAATGTCATATTAACTATTTCCAATATACAACGATTGAATCTGGAAATTTCACAAGAGAGCAATGAGTTTTTTGAATGAGTTGGAAAATCCCATTGAAAATCCCATAGTCTATTTACTTCGGATGATAATATATATATATATGTACTGTACATTGTTGTACATAATCATGGGATACAGCTATCTAATGGATGTGCATGGGATATTATTTAGCCAACAATTTGGTGCTCCCACATACGGTAATTCGGCTGGTTTACAATCCCCATGAACTATAGATACATCTACGGTAGTAGACCATAGTTCTACTAGTCGTAAGAGTCGATTCTATCTGGGTAAATTATAACGACCTCACTGCGACCTCACTGGAAATCAAAATTAATAAGGGAAATCATCCCCAAATGGCCTTAATTCAGGTTAGTGAATTTATTATAATTTACCCAGATAGTTCTACTAGTCGTAAGAGTCAATTCTATGAACAAGTGTCACAAAATCAGAAACTATTTGGATCAAAATCAGCCAGACCTACAAGAAGTTGTTCCAAGAAATAACAGAGTCAACCAGCAGAATAAACTTACCCGGCCTGGTAAACGTTTACATTAAACTATGGGAAATCACCATGCTATAGCTGGCTAAATCCACTATGAGAAAATGGCCATGGCTTCAATAGCTTTTTGTATGTTGACCAGGCCGGGTACATGGAAAATGCATTGAAAGACCGGATCTGAAATATTCATCTTAACCAATGATCCTGGGAACTAAGAATTCCAACAACGGAATTGGACTGAATGATCGCTGGAAGGCCGATAAAGGCTTGGGGTCCAAACTTGCTTATTTCATGAAGCATGTACGAGATCATACTCCAAAAGGGAATGTAAAGCAATGGATATGCACACTTTTTATCACCCTTCCATTGAGTTTAATCCTTGCGAATGTATCAGCTGGATTCGATTGAAGTTGCTTGCGTTCCTATCACCGTAGTTTTGTGTTGCTTAGGCCCTGGCCAAGCACTTTCAGATCGAGGTGGGGTGGCTTCGTGTGAAAATAATCGAACCATCCCCTCACCTTCTCCTCCCGACCTGCAGGCATCCGCAGATGCGAGCGAGGCCCAAATTTTGCGGTGGGCTGCAATCGATTCTCAAAGAGAGTGAGTCAGGGCGAATAGTTTTCAGAAGACAGTGGGTGGTTGATTTTGTATGATTTTGTTTTAAGAGCTCATAGGTTGAGTCGTCAAATGACGTTTTGAGCGCTTGAATCTACTTTTTGGTTGCTCCAACTGTTACACCCTCATTGAGCCACCACCATTGTGGCTAACATACATATATATATATATATATGTTTTTCCATGCATTATTGATTATTCCTGACCTTTCAAACTTTATGCCCGTTTAGGAATAAGATTAAGATCCCTATTCGTATCTCTTGCATTCGCATTCCCATTTGTTTGAACATAGAATTTGGTTAACAGTCCTTCAAATTCCATGTTTCCTTGGTCTTGGACTTTGCCAATCCCCACTTTTGGTTGTTGAGATACTAAGATCAGATTGGTGTTGAGTTTATAGACTCTAAAAACGTGTGTATATATATACATACATATATACATACATGTATACATGCCAATTTAGAGTTTGACATTCTTCAGTTTTGAAGTAGATATTATACTCGAGTTTGTTTGAAACTACTTAAACCACCATATGTTTCACAAGTCGTCCCATTTTTAGCACAACGAGCACCTTTTAAACGGTGACCTTCTGCCGCAGGACGTGGCTCGTGCGCTGGCTCGGCACATAGAGAGCCATGCTTCGGCTGAAGGCGTTTGACATGGATGCCATTGTAGATATTGATATTATACAAAGATTGAGATTCTAAACATAGACACATAATTAATCATAATTAATCTGATGATATATATATATACATATATATATATTACAATTAAAGACTCTATAATTAATGTTATATGCACAGATATTAGCTATCACCATATATATATATATACACATGAATATGGGGCGTCCACGTCTGCCATTTACCAGCACTTTTTGCTTGATGAAGTGAAACCAACGAAACATATGGGTTGCAAAAAATTGGGGGAGATGCAATGTTTCAGAACATGTCTCAATTCCAAAGATACCCTCTGGTAGTTTAACATAGCTATTGAAAATGGCCATTTATAGTGGATTTACCCATTAAAAATGGTGATTTTCCATAGTTATGTAAACGTTTACCAGAGGGTAATTAAAACGGAGTAGACTTGGCAAAGGCTCTATATTGGATCCCAGTCCCAGCTGGATAATTCTTGTATCACATTTACACAGTTTGATGGAGAAAAACCATGGTTGCGGACTGATATCCAAAGGAAGTACATTGATATCTCTCGTAAGGAAGTCAACACCATGACAAATGACGCATGATCTGTTTGGACGTATATTAGTCAGAGTGGCTTTATATTGGATACCCTACCTGCTCACAGTTCACTAGTGACTGGCGGTTGGTGTATGAGTTGTTTCCATATATGGAGGCATATATAGCCCTACAAACATCATCAGACATCTATATATTAAATATACAATTGGTATCAAATGGTCAAGGTTGGTCATATGACTATCCTTAGGACCCTCCTTCCATACTTGGTACTTCCTGTGGATATCGTGTATGCGGGAGACATCGCGACCCGTCAGACATGATAAATGTTCCAAGCTTAGCCGTCGGGAAGCGTTCAAACGCAATGCGACGTTTTTCACTCAAACAAGGCAAAAATGTCACGAATCACATCCTCAGAATGGGCAGCATTTGCTGAGCAGCTGGAGATGTTGGGTTTTTTCCCTCATCGCTGCCAGTGTGCAGATCGGCAGATCATCCCAGTTGTGGTCGTTGTTTGATTTTGGGAAATTCCAGAGGGCTCTTAAGAATCACCTGTTTGTACTGATGATCCTCTACCAACCTCTATACCAAACATGCTTTAACGTCAGAACCATTTCATCATGGCAATGTGTCATGATTTTGTTTCAGAGCCAGGTGCTGATGGCTGAGATTTTTGTGTTTGCTCTGAAGGAGCCAGCAACAGAGTCCCCTCCGCACAAAGATTTGCGGATGGCAGGACGAATCAGAACGACTTGTGAAACGCCTCGCGAGTTTTTGCGATGCACCAAAGGGAGTTAAAAAGCTTGTGACGCATCAGTGAGATTGTAACACGCGGTCAGAAGTCCCAGGTTTTGGGGATTTACCATGTAGATTAATATAGAACCTTTGTGTAGAACTGACTTGTAGCTTCAAATAATCCACCATGATCCACGTACTGCAAGTGGTCAGTTGCACTGGTGACAAAAACGGTGCAAAGTCCATCTCTATGAGTCCCGGCAGTTTCATGCGCCGACTTCACCATCGATGATCCCTGTTTTTTTTTGAAAAGAAATTGAGGTTCAACTTACAATTTATCAATTTCAAGTACTCTCTGGTAATTCAACATGGCAATTCAAAATCCTCCAATTTACAAAAGATTACTTTTTTAGCTAGAAACCGCCATTGAGTTCTGGGATTTACCATTGCCAAAGGTTGGGGTTTCACCACGACCGCTGTAGGTGAAAACCCTCTCGGAGGTCTTCACCACCTACCAGGAGGTCGTCTCGTCTCTCGCTGGATCATCCGGTCCGTGGAAGTTGATCATGGTTTTCACTACTGTAAGCCTGTAAGAGTCCAATTCCAAAATGGCATGCTAATGCATATTATAATATATATATATAATATATATATAATATCTATATATATATATAGATTTGGAAGGATTGACTAATTTGAGGCTGCATTTTGCATATGAATTGTTGACTCTTGCTATTGTCAGCACCTATAATTGTTTACGGGCTATCCAGATGTACTGATTATTGACCCATACCAGCACCCATATAGCCAGCAATGATGGGGATATCTAGAATATTCTAGAATAATATGATAGTGACCCCTTTGTGGATTGTGGGATGTGCTTTGAATACTCCCGAAATGGCAAGTTATTGGGGGAGGGTTCATTATTTTAGCTGTTCCACACTGACTTGTGACTATAGTCATTGTTTGCGGGTCAATAGATTCCAATAGGTTATTTTGAGCCACTGTCAAGTGAGTTACAAAAAAAGTGCGCATCTTCTTCGAGCAGAAGCAAAGATTAACACAAAACATGACGCGCTGTCAAGGTGGCAATATAGCGAGGCAATTCCCAGTGTAGAGCCTGTCACGGAGCCTGTTTCATAGGGCCATTTTCCTCGTCCCGGTGATAACTGTGACAACATCCATACGCCAGCATGGGCCAGCTAGATAGATCCTCAGTCTGGGTGGAACATTTTTGCTTTCTTCATTTCGTCGTTCACTTCTTTGTGGCTATTAGACTCCCATTGTTGGTTAGATATATCATTAGATAGACCCCCCATTGCTGGTTAAATATACCGCCACTGTTGGTTAAATAATCTGAAATATGTCATTAGGTCAACCCCCATTGTTAAACATATCTCAATGATCTCAATGGGAAGGATTATCCCATATATGAAATGGAAAATAAAGAATGTTTGAAACCACCAACCACATATATATATATATGGCTATATATATAATTAGAATATATATATATATATATCAATGATCTCAATGTTTTGTTGCATATAAAAAAACAAACTCCATTTGCTGCTACACCTTTTCATCATCGACGTCCGAGCTGACGAGGACGTCCGGCAGAGAATTTTGAAGAAATTCCGGGACTTTGCCTGGGGCGCTTGGTATGCGGCGGTAGGGATCTGCGGCGAAGTCAAAAAGAAAAGTAGCCTAACACGACACCCAAAAGTAAGAGTAAAACTGGGAATCTAGTTGGTTAATGTTGGTGATTGAGTTTAGATGAGTTTAGCAAAATCTTAGGAGCCGAGGAACTTGGGGCTCATAGGAAAGGCTCCTGTCGGACTTGGTTTTGCATTGGTTGGACCCCTCAAACAAGATATTCAATGATGATCAATGTTATTATGTATATTATATATATAACGTATATACGTCGATACAGAACCCATATTTTTTCTAAATTTGGAAAAAACCCGAGGTCTCGGAAAAAAACCTACAAAATGTTAGGGTCTTGAAGCTATAGGTATATATATATATATATACACCTGCGAAACCCGAGTGCAGGAAAAAAACGCGATGGACCATCTTGGTTTGAAAAAACGCGATGGAAAACAAAAATTGCGATACAACCAAAAAAATGCGATAAATGATTTTGCCAAATTGCGGCACCCACAGCCTCGTTCTCTTTTAAGTCTGGGCACCATGGATTCGGAGAATTGGTTCTGTGGAAATAAAAGATAGAGAGGCGGGATCTTGAAATTCTTGGGCCATGGCCACACATGCCGGAAATGTTGGTTTTAAAATGGTTGAAACATATGTCCGCAAATTTCCGCGATATTCCCGCAAATTTCCGCGATATTCCCGCAAATTTCCGCGATATTTGTGTTTTGTTTTTTTTCTACAAGAAATATGTTGCAAACCTGTTTTCAACTGTTGTGAGAGTTTAGCTCAGGCATATCACCCAATTTTTTGGGATTGCCTTTTTCATATCTTCAGCCAAGATTGCCTTTTTCATATTATGTAATGGAAAGGGCGGCCAAAGCGTGTGAAGAACCTGAGAACACCTGAAATGACCAAAAATTGCGATATTTCAAATTTTCAAGCCTTTCCCATCCCGGATCTTCAAAAAGTAGGTTTTGTTGAATATCACTTTTTTTTCTGGCACTTAGGGCGCCCCAGGTATAGCTAATAAAGGCACAACAGCTACCTGCCAGATGGTAATGGTTCCTGCCATGTAACAAATCCCACATTGAGGACTTGAGGCAATCCCTGTGTCTTCCAGGACCTATAGAATCCACAAAATTGGTTTGCCACGACGTTCCAAGGCATGTCTGTTAGAAGAAAAAAAGCATATTTGGAGTCGATCTCCACATCTCTTCAGCATTCTTCCGTTCCTTTCAAGAAACATGCCGCAGTTTCAGGGAATCGGGTGAGAAATCGGCCTCTGCAGCCATTCTTCTGGCTCCAATCTCATCTTAATGCAGTTTTAGGGTCGGACCGGACCGACCCACAAAAACTCCGACCACATATCTGCAGTCTCCTGTCCCCAGGGTGGAGTTGAGGGAGTTGTGACAGCTGGAAGTTATTGGGATGGAGTTGGTTTGGGTGCGTTTGGCGTGATACATCCCAATTAGACAAAGATGTTTAGGATTGTTTAGGATGAATCAGCAAGTTCAAGTCAGTTCTTTACCTTCTGAAAGCCGTGAACCTGATATGAAATGATGAATCTTCCGCTCGGTCTATGTCTGGGATACGGTGAATCCTCCGAAAAAAAAGTGGGTTATAACTATACCCTTTGGTTATTTAACATCGCTATGGAGGCCATGGCCCATTTATAGATGAGAAAAATGATGATTTACCTATTGAACATGGTGATTTTCCATGGCTACGTTAAATAACCAAAGGATATACAATAATATAGGCTATATGGGGTTTCCAGGTTCGTTCTGCGACTTCCATCACTTACATCTGAGGCGTTTGCACTTGGCTGCTGCTCTAGGCGCGGACATGTTGGACGTGTGGGTGCAAGACCATAGGCCAAGTGGGCTAAGATTATGCCTAGTGGGCCTAGTGTTTGGCCCCATGTGTTTCCGTGCTTCATGTTCCAACTGTTGACTGAAGGCCATGGATGGTTTCGCAAACTCACATCCGCATGTTTCTTGATTCTGCGATGTACACATCGGATTATAGGATTTATCTAAAAATTGGATATCCACAAGTCCTTTGCTGAATCATCATTTTCCCGAGGAAAGCGGCCTTTTACACTGTGGATATCCTCCATGTTAAAGCAAACCTAAGACATCGCATTCGCTAAAAAAAACATGGGTTTGATTGAACACATGATACCCCGAAATCCCATTCAACGGATTTGTTTGGGGATACACCCCATTTTCAGACACTCCAAATCACCCGAATCCAGCGTTTGAAATAATTTGTCTATCATCATTTCTGGTTGTTAGTAAATTCAAATTCCTAACATGTTTCATGGATACATCCAATTGTAAAATGCATTTCTTTCCAATAATTTGATAGTCAATCCCCATGTTTCACTATAATGTTGGACGCTGATTAGTGTAGGGGCCCCCCCTAAAACAATTTTAGTCTACTTATTAACTCGGCATTTTTTGGGGGACCAGGTCTAGGGAATTCAGGATGACCAACTTAAGTAAGGATTTCAATTGAAATCAACTACTTTCAAATGATGTTCTTTTTAAACCTCAAAGAAATCTATTGATAAGTAAGGAATTTCAATTGAAATCAATTTACTTTCAATTCATTTGAATCTACTTTCAATTGATTTCCTTTTAAATCTAAAAAAACAGTCACCCCAAAAGTTTTTGTGCACAATAGGGTACCATCCACACAATTATATTATTGAGGATCTCGGTCACTCATGGGGTACCCCCTTGAAAAGATGTTTGGGTGCTGTTTTTAAATAAGGGTTTAATGATGCATCTAATTATTTGGGACACATTGCATTTTCAAGGCTTTAACGTGGATGTGGCTTTCTACAGTAAATGGACCAGCTTTACCCACAGAAAGGTGTATACAGGTGGATAAAGCTCCTCCTGAAAAAAATGAATCTGAGAAAACACATCTCACAATAGAGCCCCACCCCCAACAAACGGCAGGATACTGATTTATTTTGGAAAAAAAAGCACTCACAATAGGGTACCAGGACACTAACCAGCGTCCAACATTATATGTTGATGCTGCAATCCGACGGGCGGTTCCCCAAGGCGGTGCGCCGTTCGAAGTTGGTGCAAATAACCCCAAGTCACTATAGATATCATTGATTATCATGAACCCAAGGGAGTTATTTGCACCAATTTATCCCATGGATTCCCCATTTTCCTTGGTGATATGAACATGTTCCAAGCGTATCCAAACGTTGGTTTCGTTTGGGGCACCAGCTTCCAGTGACATCAGTAGCCCGAGGCCATCTTCGATGTGGCGTTGGATTTCCGCCATGCTGGTCACCAGCGTGGCTGGTGCCAACTTGGAAGCCTCTCAGCAGGTGGCTTGTCGCGGTGCTACGCCATGTGTAGCCGACATGGTGGTTTCCTATGGTTTCCTGACATGGGGGTACCCCCAGACTCCCCAGATCATCCATTTATAGATGGATTTTCCATGATTTTCCACTATAAACCATCCAGAACTTGGGGTACCACCATTTATGGAAACCTCCATATGGGGAATTCACCAACAAAAACATGGGGAAAACGATGGGTTTTCACCAACAAACTGGTGAACAATTGGCATCCATAAGCAAAAAAACATGGGGAAAATGTAGACTCTGTAGACCAAAGCAACTTCATAAAGCAGCCTAAAAATTCCTCAGAACTGTGCCCTTTGCAGAAAAAACCAGACATGGGATTAGTCACTGATCGGACATGGGATTGGGGATTCAACATGAGAAAAAAACGACGAGCGCGACCAAAGCACAATTTATGGTGCAGCAAACCATGTGGCGTTTACGCATTTCATGGGCTGAAAGTGTGGAGGAACCCTCCATTTTTCGGAATCGGTTGAGGGAATCAACATATATTTGGATGTAAAAACCCTGGTTTCCTGTAGATGTTCCCTTAAACCAATCCACCAATCAATCTGGTAGTAAGATTTTGAGTGGTGTCAGTTTTCGGAGATGAGTTGGAATTATAGTTTTAAGATGTTTTAAGTTGGTCTATAAACCTTATTAGTACAAGACCCTAATTATTTGAGTTGTAAGCCCGACTTAGCTATCGGGGGGTCCCACCTTGGTCTCTGTGAGGCTGTAGACTTAGTCACTGGGTTGCGTGTTCGCAGAGCAACAGCGACAGAGATCTCTGTGGCTTCGGAGTTCCCAGACTTTCAGACGGGCAGTGCATCAGCAACCGGTTCCTTGGGAGCTTGGCCGAAGGCCAAAGGCTATAGGTTGGTGCATCGCTGAGATCGCCTGGGAGGCCCAAGGCTGTGTTGAATCTTTCTTGGCGCGACTCGGTGAAGGTATTTCTTGATCTTAAGGGCCATGATATCAAATTGATATCAAATTGGGTGTACTGACTCACTGTGTGCCGACGTAGCTTGTCGGCTGTGCACGTGACTCCTTCTTGGTTCTAGCATGTTTCTTCCATTTCATAAGGGGTGCATGTACCCCAGGTTATCATCCAAGTTATAAGTCTTGGTCAAACCAATCGTTGAATTTTGGGGGAATCCAATGTTAAGAATGCCCAAATACAGCGAATACAGTGCATTGCTCATTGGTTACCTTCTGATAAATTAACATAGACCCTGAAAATAGCCTAGTTTTAATGGACACGAATCTTCCAAGCCCTATCTGCCAGGGTCTATGTTAATTTACCAGAGGGTACATATGCTCAAAGCTTCACAATGTTTCAATCTCCCCTTGGGCCCAAGTTGGATGATGAAAAATCGCATATATTGGATGCTGAAAAATCTTTCCACTTCGAAATTGTTCAATCCCCACTTTTGATGCGTTTCCATACCGCACATCCCAGTGTTTCTATTGAAATCCCCATGTGCGAATATTTGGGATATTTTGACCGCATATTTTGGATACCTTCTGGTAATCAAGCATGACTCGCTGGAAAAAAAACACATCATTTATAATTCGTTCTCCCATCACAACGTCCACTTAGATGTGTTTTTTTCATGTTGTACCATATGTTCATATATTTTCCTATGTCTTTCCGATTTTCTATAAGGGGTGTCCCATTTCTTATCCAGGGTTTATTGCCAGGACGGAATCCTCAAGTTGCTGACGGCCGACAGCGCCCACGGTGCAAGCAGCACCACGGCAAGCTCTCAGGGTAACGCCAGCAAGATGTCGAAGGCTCTAATGGCAACGGGCATGGGGGATGAGGATTCGTTAAACTGGAGCTATGCCCCATTTGGGTATGGATCAATACCTATAAGTACCATTTTTAGGGGAATGAACATCCATAAACCCCAGCTATTTTGATGTGAACAAAAGGGGTACAAGGTTTTGACACACTGCCATTTGACATAATATGGGGATGGGTCAAAACCCATTTTTACTATATTTGGGAGAATATTTTGTCTATCCATTAACCAGCTATTTTAGGGTACCGGGTACCCTATTTGACATGATTTAGTTACTCTCAAATATGGAATTGTCTGAAAATGCTATCTGTGCCATTTCTTATGACCATTGAATGGGGAAAACTATGATTCATCTATGGGAAAGAAGGGTGCCGTAATTTCCAGAAAGTTAGCCATATGATATATGGATGTGTCTCAAAATATGGTATACCCGTATACCCCATTTATAGCCACTAAATCAATGGGAATTCCAGGATCCTAATATAGGCCTTATATATGGTAGGTACCTCCAATTTAGGTTCCTGAAATGGCCATTGACTAAAGAATGGGGAATATGGCAAAAGCATCAAGATTTGGGGGTACATTTTGAGACACATGTTCTATATTTTGAAACACCAAAAGTGAACGAACTTTTCAACAGAAAGTTCTTTCTGATTTGTGAGTTCATCTAACATGTTCATTCATTTACCCAGATTCATGTCTTTGCTAACTGTGCCTTTTTTTGCGGTTGATCGGTTGATCCTCATGTTTTGTCACCAGTTTTGGTTGAAGGGAGCATCTACAGGAATGCATGGTTTGAGTTACCAAATATGTTTTTTGTTCCCCCCCATTTCAATGTTCCCAAACCAAGTCTAGAAACTTAGTAGTTGTGTTTCCTTCCTTGAAAAAACGGGTGAATGTTTTTGTTTTGGTTGCTGTTTATCCACATGTTCTCTTATCTTTTCAAATGGTCGATTTGATTTGTCTGAAAATGGGGCATATAACCCCAAATGTGCGGTTGAATACTTGGAGGTGCGTCCCAGTTAGCGAGTGGTTTATAATAAGCCCTATACAACCTCGATCATCCGTATTCGGTATATATCTATATGGTTATTCAATATAGCGATTATATGCTTGCTCCAAGAACTATTAATGAAACCTTTACATCTATCCATAATCCTTATTCTGGGGTATTCCACATGGTTGTCACAAGATGGGCCTTTTTTCCCCCGCAGTGATGTTTGTTGGTGTATAAGGCCCATGAACTATCGTTATGTCTACTATAAACCATAGAATTCAGCCACAGCATGCCACAGCCATATCTCAACTGAACGCTATCTTAGTTAAACCCCATCCATCCCCATCCACCCAACCGATGTGTGAAGGCCAAGGCCAAGACCACTCAGATGGAGGCGGGGCGAGCTGGAAGTGTTTGAAAAATCCCTTAAGGTTGACAGAGTCATTAACTATTATAGTTAATAGTAGTTAATGACTATGATAGTTATTGTGGATTTTGATTAGTTTAACTTTTTTTTTTAAAAACTATCATTAACTATCCCATAACGTTCATAGTAGGGAAACTTTTTTACCTGGTTGGTGGGAAACGGAGCATGAATGGATTATGATTTTCCATATATTGGGAAGTTCATCATCCCGACTGACGAACTCATATTTTTCAGAGGGGCTGAAACCACCAACCACATAAAATCCACAATAACTATCATAGTTAACATCATTGTATAACAAATGGAAAATATTTGACATCATTTAGTTAGCATCATTGGTAATATAGATATGGTATATAACTATCCCTTGGGCATATTTAAAATTTAATGATGGGGTAAGAATCCCTACTATTGGTCAACATATATTACACATAGCCCTTTGGGAATTGTATTACCTGGTTTAATGGGGATTATATATATATATGATTATATGAACTAACCCATAGTAGGAAACCGTTTTCAACCAAGTGGTATTTCATTTTATGTAGGGGTGTTTTTAATGGCTCAACTGGGTTGTAGCCTCCATATTGCCAATTTCTTAGGACAAATATGAGTATATAATATTATATAATCCCCCTATCAAACATCCCATTTTTATTCCATTGCATTGGCTAATCAGCACTCTTTATGAAACTGGGCTATATCCCATTTGTTTGTCTGGGTCATTTCACATGTTTATTACCCACAGATCGTATAGCTCTCACGAATCAAGGATCCTAGTGCTCGTGGTGTGATTTTTCAATCTCTTGCAGTCTACAATGGAACCTGAACAGATGGGGAAAAGACTATGGGAAATGATGGGAACTTGATCAGCAACTGGGCTTAAGATAGCTAGCTAAGGTGGGTATATATATACATATATATATATTATATATATAAATAGATAGCATAGCCTGTCGACATGCCGAGACACGACACATTCAGCTTTTTTTTACATCATGTCAACAATCAGGCTTTGAAGATGTTTGGATTCATTTCCTGAAATGGAACGTGGCTATCGGCAATCAGTATGGCTATCCTCAAAATAAAAATGCAATTCCCCAGTCAATTCTATTCAATTAGTGATGATTCACTTTTGGATTTGTCTTTGTGGTTACGGTCAAGTTGTTGGGAGCCCCATCTTGGAGATGTCATTTCAACATATTTCAACGACAACAAACTCACCAAAATGGCTTTATCTTTGGATTTGCGAAAAAAAATATGGGTATGTCTGAAAATCCCCCAATTATAGCCATTATAGCCATGGATAATGATCATTAACCATTGGATGTAGCTATTAGTACACTATTTTCAGACAAAGCCATATGATAGACCAGTGGATTTTATGGCTTGTCGACAGAAAAAAAACGGGTATCTTTTATCTCAAATCCAATGCTTCATCAGCCGTGTCCTTTGTAGATTTGCCATTTTTATTGAGGCAAATCACATAAAATTGCAATTTATTGGGACAAACTCCATATATCACATTGTTGGTCATACTCATTGATCCCAGTCGACATACTTTGGATGGGCCAGCGAAATCCGAAAACCACCTTGAATGGTTGGAACCCTATGAATTATTGGATTTCTACCACATATCTCTTGTATTTGCTGTGGCTTCGTAGTTTATAAACAGCTTGGAATTTTATAAAACATACTTTATTAGTTTATAAACTATATATACATTATTGTATATCTATACACATATTATATATGATGTGTATATATATATATATATATATCATATATGCCCATATGTTCAGTATCTAAACCCAGTGGTTTTTTGTCGCTCCAAGTTGGATCACAGCTCCCCGAGGACATGGTCCTCTTGCTGGCGCAGCAAGCGAAAGCAGCACGGGAGGCCTCGAAGAACAAGGCCGGAGCCGGGACACTAAAATAGCTGGTTAATAGATGGCCCCCCAGTGATGTTAGTTGGTTTATAAGCCCCAGTAACTATACCATAAACCATAGTTATTGGAGTTATAAATAGCTGGTTACCCTCTGGTAAACTAACATAGCCATGGTATAGATGGCCCATAGAAATAGATGGTTTACGTATTAATAGCATGGTGATTTTCCATGGCTATGTTAGTCGTAACCAGATGGTAATAGATGTTGATTCCCCTAAATAATGGCAATTTTCACGAAACAACAATCTATTAACTATCTATTAACAGCTGAATGGTTACATCTATGGGTTAATAGCTCATGGTTAATAGGGCTGACTGTTAAGTATTACTGAAACACTAATTATATGGAAATAGATGAAAATGACTATGAGTCAAAACCCTGGGACCCTACCCTGTGGTGAAATAGCCGGTAGAGCTGAATGGCGATTCCCCTAAATAATGGTAATTTTCATAGGTTTTGACCCATCCCTTGTTATATCAGAATATGTCTGAATGGTTTTCAATGAACATCAAGTGCCTTAATGATTCTCAAACTATGGGTTAGATTATTATCTCATGGTCTTGTGATGCTGGGGTCTATTTAGATTAATGTGATGTTACCTGGTTACCTGAAAAGGTGGAGCATAAAGAAAACTGCTAGATAATGGGTGTTTGTGGGGTATACCAAGACACTGCGACATAGGATGTTCGAAGTTTTTGTTCCAATTACTTTACTTCGTGTGATCCCCACCATGACATTTATACATTTTCTTACTGGCAAATCTTCTGGCATTCTATCTGACATATCTTCTGACATTCTATTTGACATTCTATCTGGCATATCTTCTGGCATATCTGGCATATCTTCTGGCATATCTGGCATCTTCTGGCATTCTATCTGGCATATCTTCTGGCACTCTATCTGACATATCTTCTGGCATTCTATCTGGCATATCTTCTGGCATATATTCTGACATATCTTCTGGCATTCTATCTGACATATCTTCTGGCATATCTTCTGGCATATCTTCTGGCATATCTTCTGACATATCTATCTGGCATATCTTCTGGCATATTTTCTGGCATTCTATCTGGCAAATCTTCTGGCATTCTATCTGGCATTCTATCTGGCATATCTTCTGCATATTATCTGGCATTCTATCTGGCATATCTTCTGGCATATCTTCTGGCATATCTTCTGACATTCTTTCTGACATTCTTTCTAACTTTCTTCTGCACATTCTTTGTCCCATATCTTCCTACATGAGGTCCGGCAGGGAACACTTGGCGTGGATACTCGCGGTTGAGGTCCGGCAGGGAACACTGGGCGTGGATGGTCGTGGTTGAGGTCCGGCAGGGAACACTGGGCGAGGATGGTCGTGGTTGAGGTCCGGCAGGGAACATTGGGCGTGGATGGTCGTGGTTGAGGTCCGGCAGGGAACACTGGGCGTGGATGGTCGTGGTTGAGGTCCGGCAGAGAACACTGTGGATCGCGGGTCGCAGTTGAGCAAGGACGACGAGGACGACGAGGACGACGAGGACGACGAGGAGGACGAGGAGGAGGAGGAGAGGAGGACGAGGCAGGAGGAGGAGGAGAAGGAGGAGGAGGCAACTGACATAAAATCTAACAACCCTCAGCTGGCAGGTGGGGAAAAATGGAAACTGAAAATTCGTGTTTGGGGATCTTAAATGGATTGTCTAGGTAGCTGCAGGACTGTATCGATGTAGGACCGTCGGCACTCCTTTCGGATCCTTTCGGACTTGGTGCATGGCTTCCCCATACGGTATGTCAGCAATCATACCAGATGACAACATCAATCTCGATGTGGTAAAAAAAGAAAGGCGTTGCGAATGAGCTCGGGAACGTGGTAAATTTATGTAAATTTGTCCTTTCCTGAAATGGAGCTGTGGGGTCTGCATTCCTTGTTTCAGGATGCTCAGGATGGCAAAACTTGGGATGTGTGTCGCCCCTGTAACTATGGTTATAAATAAGTTATTCACTTTTTGCTGGAACTGCACCCCACTTAAGCGTCCATTGAAGTTATCTCATCTCCAGAACTGCTCGGATTTTCTCGGTCAAATCGCGATTTTGAATCCAAGGATTCAATCCCTCCTAGCAGGCGACCTGGAAAAATCTACTGGTGGTTCATCATTATCCCCAATCAATTTGCTATTTGGGAGGTAGTTATATATAAAAATCTAATATAATGTTATATTATATATATAAAAAAACAATTCTCAACATTTATCAACCCTTTTCAATCCCAGTACACACATAATGTGTTCCTTGCTTAAAATTGTCATTATCAACACATTTTGTTGATTGCTTGGGATTATTTGGGTGATAAAAAATGAATGGAAACCATATGTAGGAACAATAATAATTGATATTATCAACATTGATCAACTCTTCATATGATTGGTTTTATCAATAATTATGAAATAATTGGAACAATACTGGTTCCTGGCTGAAAAACCACTCATTTATGGTGTTTTTTGCAGGACGAGGACAAGGAAATGGAGGAGATGATTGAACAGCTGAGACAAGAGCTGAAGATGATGCAGTGCCCTGGTAAAAAAAAAAAAAATCTGAGGAAAATATCGGAAAATGCTGGTTTAATGAGTTTAATGGGATATTAATCCGGATTTCCTGGGATTTCATGGGGAAAATCATCTTTTCATACTGAGTTTAATGGTGAATTTGAATGGGGATATCGTCAATTTTATGTCACCTGTCGTAGGATATCCTATGGAAGATGGCCATATTCATGGGGTTGGGATCCGAGAGATAGGTACGAATTAGCTTCCAGTAAACTAATATAGCTATGGAACATGAATGAACATGGTCTGTCTCTAGATGATTTCCCCCAAAAAAACATGATGATTTCCATAGCTACGTTACCAGAGGGTAGGTGGTTAGGATGTAATTTTGCTGGATTTAAACATGATTTACTTACTGGATGGCTTACAACGGAAAATCCTATCTATTATTAATGGATTATTTTGATGGGGTACCATCATTTTAGGAAACCTCCATATTTACTGTACTTCAAATAATATTCATAGAATTGGATGATGGGAAAATTTTCAGGAAAGCCCTATATTTGATGGTAAAAACCATGGTTTCCTGTAAAATTTCCCTTAAACCAATCCAGTGAAATATGGCATTTGTTTTTAGAGTTTATAGTGAACATTGTCCATCCATTCGAATCTGGCTATCTTTTACATCGACATCATTGGCCGACGTCACGAGCAAGATGATGGCTAAAAGAGGATCACCTGCCCATTTATGGACCCCCCCAAACGTTTAGGTAAGTTGATTCTGATAGGTAAGTTGATTCTGATTTCAAGTTCAGCCTCCAGGCCTCAAGGTGTATATACATACTGCAATATAAGACACATACATCAATTGAACAGCAGTATGTAATATTATGGTAGACATGTTTATGTCAAAATGTATAAATACACTTATTAACAGTATACATAATTATGGTAAAACTAATCCAAATGTATGTGTATATACAACATATATACATACAATCACATGTATAAATATACATAATTATACATATAGAAAAATCATGTTTGGGCTTTGTGGTTGCCACAAGTTCTATGCCAACACATCGTATCGGTTGGTGATTTTTTTTTTTTGCACGGCGTTTGGGCTAGTCTAGCAACCCGCACGTATATATATATATAGAGATAGATATCTAGATATCGATATATCTATATACTATATATCATTATTATTATATTTATCATTATGATTATATTTAATTATAGATTATATATAATTATATATATATATATTTGTCTATACGTCTACCGAATGGTGGTGTTCTCTTTATTTTCAAAACGGGATAATGATCCCCAATGTCTAATTTGTGTCAGAGGGGTTGAAACCACCAACCAAATTATAAGTTGGTCTTTGAACCTCATTGATTATAGATATATCTACCACAGGCCATAATCCAATCCCCCTAATATTAGACACACCCTAAATGGTCCCAAATATGTGGTTTCATCCCGAACAAAATCATGGTTGCTCGGGCGCGTTTGATATTGGGGGAATGGGATTAGTTATAGTTGCTTAGTTTTAAGCCAGAATATCCGCATTAATCTCCCATTCAATCACCATTCAGTTCAATGATGTTCAACCATGAAATCCGCATGAACCTAGCATTTTCATCATCATTTGTCATGGTTACCCTCTGGTAAATTAACAGTTGGACCCTGAACATCACCATAGTGGAAACGAATTTACTGGAGGGTAAACCATGTGAAACTTGACTTAAACCATGGTTACAGTACCCTCTGGTAAATTAACTGGAGGGTAAATCCCAATTAAATTTAAATCCTAATGAACCATAATGAACCACCATTTTCCTATGGTTTTCCTATGGTTAAAGCCATGGTGCACCCTGAAGTTTCAGACATCCAAGGACCGAGATCAATGAAGCGGCCAACACCTCGAATGCAGCGTGTCAAGCCGTCGGACTGCCCGGTGGTCGAATCGTTTCAACGTTTGTTTTGATTTACCCGGCCTGGTGATGTCAAAATAGATTTTAATGGTGATTTAATGGGGTTTAATGGTGATTTAATGGGATTTAATGGTGATTTAATTGTGATTTAATGGGATTTAATGGGGTTTAATGGTGATTTAATGGTGATTTAATGGGGTTTAATGGTGATTTAATGGGGTTTAATGGTGATTTAATGGTGATTTAATGGGATTTAATGGGGTTTAATGGTGATTTAATGGGGTTTAATGAGGTTTAATGGGGTTTAATGGGATATTTTGGATATATAATATATATTAATAGATATACCCTCTGGTAATGACTAACAGTTTGCTATTGAAAATTGCCATTTATAGTGAGTTGTCCCATTAAAAATGGTGGATCTTTCCATAGTTATGTAAACGTTTACCAGAGGGTATTCTTCTGGGTGTGTCTGAAAATAAGGTTTTGTGTGGGTAAAACAATGTCATGAACCATCCCCCAATCATCACCATTTTGATAGGTGGTATGGTTACCATTCCCAGTCATGGGTGGTTTCGTATTGTTTTACCCACCTCATATCCCCAAGTATGGTCATTTCATAGGGAAACTGATCTTTTTTTTATGGAATGGGGTACACTTAATTTTTAGACAAACCCATGTTGGTCATTCATGTTTAATGATTTAATCAGTCACTATGTGTTTTTTATATTATTTAGATTGGTATACCATACTTTGACCATCACACATGAATGAATATTATATAATATATATATAGTATAGATATTCATCACAAATTATAGATAATCATAGGCAATCATAGAGAATATTAGTGGATCCTGGATTTGTTCTGCGACTGCTCACTGAGTTTTTCCGGAACCTGCCGATTTGAGCCAAACGTTTTGTTTTGATGTTGTGCAAATGTCATGTCTCTTAGATTTAAGTGTTAGATGAGTTAGATGATATAACATGATATAACCTGGTTGGTGGTTTGGAACATTTTTTCCCATATATTCGGAATAGCAACCCCGACTGACTTTCATATGTTTCAGAGGGGTTGAAGCCACCAACCAGTAACTGTTGTTTTGGTGTATAGAGCTATGTTCAATCCATTTTATGGCTCGACGCGTGTGGACATGTCATGACTAGCTCAGAATAAATCTCATAAAGTGGTTGACACGAGGCTTAAAGAGCTTATGCTCTTTGGGTTGGTTTCAGGGAACATCTACAGGAAACCATGATTTATAGCAGCAAATTACTGGGTCCCCATGGTGATCCTGCAATTGTATCAATCGTTACTGTAGGTGGTTTCAAAGGGTGTCTCATTGTGTTTGACGATAGTATGGTGTTTGATAATATAACCATTCGTATCTATTCTTATCATTCTTGATACGATAGTTCTATTCCTGAGAATAGGACTACGACTGCGAGTGTATTATACTTATTCATCATAGTTCATAAGTATTTGGTTTGTGTTTTGAAACATGTTTTTTTTCTCCATATATTGGGATAATAATCCCAACTGACTTTCATATGTTTCAGAGGAGTTGAAACCACCAACCAGTTGTAATCCTTAACATTATGTTGTCATTTCCTATTTTCATACCTGCTGTGATGATTCGTTTTGGATTTTCATGGTGGCCGTGACACAGGCCTATGATAACCTCACCGTGGGTTGCCCATTCTACGAAAACGACACGCTCTTTCTGCCCGAAGGTGCGGAGGGTCGTTGTAGAAAAGTCGTGGCAGATGATAAGCCATATAATTATGCAGGTTTCCTAAAATGGGGGGTACCCCAAAAATGGATGATTTGGGAGTACCCCCATTGTAGGAAACCTCCATAGATGTATAATCCTAGAGTAGATGGAACGTGTTGTTGTTTTTAGACCAAGATGCTGCCTATGTAAAATGTGTTTTTATGAAAACTTCCATGTTCTATCAACTTTAGGATGATTATGTATACAAGTGGGTTTCATCCAAGTTATGAATGGGTCATACCAGTCAGGAAATAGTCAAGTTATAACTGAGTGGGGTTTCCATACTTGATCTACAGATGAACAAACCGTGTATGGTTGTGAAACTTGTACGATCCCAGCATTCGGAAAGCTTTGACAATTACCCCTCCTGTGCCGTGTGCCATGAAAATTGGCGACGCACTCAACAGCCTGAAATTGCGCAGGTGAAGACATTGAACACAGGTACCCTCTGCTTATTTAACATAGCCATGGAAAATGGCCCATTTATAGATGGTTTACCTATAAAAAATGGTGATTTTCCATGGCTATGTTAAATAACCAGATGGTATATCGGCAGTTACCTTACCCCCAGTTTGACCAGTGCCCAAATGGTGCAGTTTCGGAACGAGGGTCGGCAAGTTAAGATCAGAATGGTCCTGGAGGAGACTCCATACTTGGAGGCACGCATTAAATGCTGTGTAAATGGCTTAGACACTGGGTATGCAATTGGTTAAAACCCATTTACTTTACGAACTAGTCAACTAATCCAATAGCCCATCTAAGTACAGTCTTGCATTGGCCTCCAAGCAAATGGAAGATTGTGTTTGGTTCAGTTTCCAAACCAGAAGTGGTTATGATCTCTATACAATTGATTTTGCTTTTTCACTTGCAAACGAGTCCGAAAAACCGTGGTGATGATCCACTTTCTTGAGTTACTTGGGGCGTCACGGAGATCTTGTTCGATTGCACAAACAACCGCAACTTCCGGCTTTTCGTGGCCGGCTCAGAGCTAGAAATCCATGAAATCCATGAAAACCCTGGGACCGCAACTGTGTAACTCTTCCATGAAGGGCCTGGAAAGTCTCCAAAAACGACCAAAAACAAGATCAATTCCAACTCAGCAAAATATGTGTCTCTAGTTTATTTTTGGGCAGAATTCCATGCCAAACAATAGCAGTTTCACATAGCATTTTCACATCATAAACAAACAGCCCAACAGCCCAGAGCCTGTCCCGTCGACCTTTGCGAAAGTCGTGTATCGTCGCCATGGCCCAAATGATGCAAAACAACGACCTGGGTGCACTCCTTCAGTGACTTGGACATTGCGAATGGCTCAAGCGGAAACATTTTCCGGTTGAGGTTGTTTCAAATATGATGAACATACAGAATGACAAATGGTGATTTGACTATCAAAAATTATGAACATGTTGATTTGACCATCAAACATAGGTGGACATGTTAGATTCAACACTCAAGAATGGTGAACAATTTAAATTTAACCATGAAACATGGGGATTTTAACATATAATAATTAATTCTGAACTGGTTGTTGGTGGGTTCATTTGGCTTTTTTTTTTAATATAATGTTCAACCGCATAGACATGGGATGATGACCCCCGATAAGTAGCATAGTTTCCGAGAGGGATGGCTTTCATCAAAAAGAAGGAAACTTGTTGGTGGTTTGGAGCATTTTTTTTTTTTCAATATATTGTTTTTTTTCCCAACTGACTAATATGTTTCAGAGGGGTTGAAACCACCAACGAGGAAATGTAAGGGAACCGTGTGATTTGTCGTGAGATGTCGTAAATGATCATGTGGCCGCTCATTGTTCTATGAAGGGAAAAACAAACAACATCCGATGAAGGTGATCAAGAGCCTACATGCGGAATTCAAAAGAAACATGGGGGATTCAACTAAAGAAAAAATGTGAAATTTACAGATTGAACTGGGCAAAATGTGACCCTGATGAATTAAACAAAATCCCTTGCCGCAAAGATGTTAAATTGATTTGAATTGATCCCCTCCCCAAATGAACATCACCAAACCATGGGTAAGATTGGGGGTGTCTTCATGTGGGTTTCGCAGGGCTGAATACACCAACCAGATATGCCAAAAATGACATGCCGAGAATGTGCCGCCCCCAGGTCCCCCAAGCTATGTTCGTTGGTTCATGGACCCCAATAAGTATGGATAATTATGGATATATGTACCATTATTGACTATTATTAAAGCAATTGAGCTATTACTTAGCCTTTATCAAACCTCCAATCCAACATTATTGAACATTATTAAACCAATTTAGTTATTAGTTAGCCTTTATCAAACCTCCAATCAATTATTATTGAACTAAACTTTATCCATGATGATTCTTTGCGAATTCTCTCATCTTTGATGGCTAACTATAACCTCATCCCTGGCAGTGCTGGCAGCTGGAAGGGTTTCGTTGAGGCCTTGGGCTTCTCGAGTCTTGGAGATTTGCTTCAAGCCGCTTGGTGAAGATAAGCGCTTGTAACTTACCCTCTGGTAAACTAACAGTTTGCTATGGAAAATCATCATTTTTAATGGGAAAACTCACTATAAATGGCCATTTTCAATAGCTATGTTAAATTACCAGAGTGTACCCTCTGGTAAACTAACAGTTTGCTATGGAAAGTCACTAGTTTAAGAGGTGAATCATCTATAAATGATCCATTTTCCATAGCTATGTTAGTTTACTGGAGGGTATAACAGAACTGGTTTGTTGATGACATGGTTATTCGTGGGATTCATCGAACCCATGGCGAAACAAAATGCACAAAAGAAACCAGAGGGACTGGGGTCAACTACCCCAAGAATGGGTGATGTAATATCTATCATATCCCTATTATTTATATATATATACACCTCTATTGGATCTCCCATCATATCTCTATAATACAATTAGATCTCTATTACATCCCATTATTCCCACTTTAACCAGCAACGAATTTCTATCCTTGCCCAGTCCCTTCCGGTCATCGCCACGGACCAAAAAGGAATGATTCGGAGGAGTCGACACGAGGATTCCTGGCATATTTGATGAAGCTTGGCTGAGTGAAACGGGTACCTCCACTGGGACGAGAATGGTGATGGTGTTTGTTTTCCATTGTCATTCATGGATATGAATGACACTACGTATGGATGTGGAAATTGGAATATATAGTGATTATTGTAATATTATATATATATATATATGCCGTATATATATATATATTATAATATATATATATATATACGGAAATAGGATGATATTTGATGGTCGGTGAAGGTTGTTTTTTCCTAGCCAGAATTGAGAAAATATGTAGAACTATACACGAATGCACTATACACCTGGCTGAGGAACAGCTTGTTTTGCAGGCATCTTAGATTGACCATGCAAATTGACATTCAACAAGCCCAAGGACTGGAGGGCTTGAAAGAGATACAGCATGGATGACTTCGAACATGTCACCAAGCAGAAAGGACTTTTGGAAAGGCGATGACTGGGGTTCCAGCAGTTCGATTTCATGATAAAATCTATCTGCATATCATTGGGGTGGAGAGATTCAGCAATGGAAACGGTTCCTTTTCTTAACGGACGTGCTCATCAATTTGTAGATCTTACCCTCTGGTAAACATACAAAAAGCTATTGAAAATGGCCATTGATAGTGGATTTACCCATTAAAAATGGTGATTTTCCATAGTTACGTTAGTTGACCAGAGGGTACCCAGTGGTTCAGGATCCGGCATGCTCCAAAAAACCTTCCACCCGATGCCTAAGGACCAGCAAGTTGCCGGACGGGACATACATCAACCAGTCACTCGGGAATGGCGTGGTGGGCGTTGCCATGGTCCTGGAAATGCGCTGGTGAATGCTCAAGATGACCACCAAAAGCACCAAAAGTTGGGGATGGAGTACGCTCCACAGGGGTTGGTAACTGTCCCATTTTGGGAATATTGGACATCACCTTATAGTAGCCATTGTAGACCATTATACCTAATGGTTGGGTGATGTTCAATGGGGACATTTAATGACCCATGCTCCAAAAGTCAGGATGTGCTGGCATACATCTTGCATTCTCGTCAACTATTTGTTGAACTGTTCCTTCAAACTACCTTCTGGTCATTGTAACCATGGAAGTCATGGGTTATTTTTAGATGATTTACATTGATTTGCCTAGTAAACATGGTGAAATCTTCCATAATGTTCACCTCTGATTTATAAACGTGGGGGCCCCTCCCCCCCCCTCTTTGCCCCTAAATAAACTTAAAGCCACCATCAAACTTGTTTGTATGTATTGGTTTTCAATTACCACAATTTGAAACGACAATATAAATGCAATTTCCAAAGAAAAGGAATCCAACAATTGTTTTAGTATTGATCTAGTATTCATGTCATGGATTTAGTATTGATTTAGTATTCATGTCATGGATTTAGTATTGATTTAGTATTCATGTCATGGATTTAGTATTGATTTAGTATTCATGTCATGGATTTAGTATTGATTTAGTATTCATGTCATGGATTTAGTATTGATTTAGTATTCATGTCATGGATTTAGTATTGATTTAGTATTCATCTCATGGATTTCGTATTGATTTAGTATTCATTTAGTATTGATTTAGTTTTGATTTAGTTTTGATTTAGTATTCATGTCATGGATCTAGTATTGATTTAGTATTCATTTCATGGATTTATTATTGATTTAGTATTCATTTCTTGATCAGCGGGAGGGGGAAGCTCGGTGGCTTTATTCAGGGTCAAACTCTAATTAGTGCTAAGGCACCTCATGGGGGGTACCCTTGATGAGTTGATTTGGGATTGATTTTGGATGGGTTTATATAAAGGATTTGAATAGAAAGAGCATCCATTATTTTTGAAAATTTGAAGCTATCAAGGTAAGATCTAATGAGCTGGCAGTATGAATTAGTACCTGAAAGCCACCTCAAATAAAGCATGGACAATTTTTTTCCAGCCCCATCTGGGCAAACCCTGGGTTTAGGGCCAAAAAAAATATAGCTTTATTTAGGGGTCATTTATTATTTAGTTTGGGAGTTTGGTTAGCTTTATTCAGGTCAACATCAAACATGTTAAATCACTGGAGGCTATCGGCCAGCAGTTCCGAAACCTGTTGGAACTGACATAGACCCGATCAACCTTGCATCAACCATCAACCTCACAAATTGTCTCAGATGGATATGTCCAACCATTAGGTATAAACTGAATGGTATGTCCAATAACATCAACCATCAACCATCAACCATCAACTGAATGGTATGTCCTTGTCTCAACCTTGCATCAACCATCAACCATCAGCCAATTCGAATGGATATGTCCAGTATTTTCTCCCAATCAAACGCCCACGACTCGGATGATTCCTTGTCCCAAAATCCGGAGCCAAATCAATGATTCATTGCTTAAATGGTTTTAGTTATGGTTGAATCTGTTATTTCATAAATGGTTCACGAAAAAAAAACATGAATTGCTTATTCGCGATTATATAAGCAATATAACCATTAATGGCTTATTCGCGATTATATAAGCATTATAACATATTATAGCCATTAATGGCTATTTGTTTAATCCTTATTAAACATTCTGAAAAACAATCTTTTTTTACTTCACCATCCATGGGTGAAATCTTCAAGTTGTTTTTCTTAAGGGACGTTTTTTTGGTCATGTTCAATCACCATTTGAGGATGGTTAAATCGCCATCTTTGATGCTTACATTTGGTTAAATCATGTTAAATCTCCCAATCCACATCATTTTCCCCCATCATGGATTTCCCTGTTTTTTTTTCTCGTGGTGAAATCCCAATTCTTGACACTTAAATCATCACTGCTTGGTGGTTTGGATGAGTTTTTATTTTCCCCAATAGCTGGGATGATGATCCAATCTGATTTTCATATTCTTCAGACGGATAGGTATACCACCAATTAGTAATTAACTATATAATTACGGGGAACATGATTATGATCTTTTGTCTGGGATTTAGGGGGTACCCTATTTTCAGCCTATTTTCAGCTTATTATTACTATATTTGGGAGAAACACCATCCATTAGCCAGCTATTTTAGGGTACCTATTCCCTATTTGACGCTTAAATCATGTTAAATCCTTTTTTCTGATGAACTCAGCATCCAGCTCCGAGGTTCACCCAGCAGGTGCCCCAGGAGGTGTTTCTGCGGCAGGTGCTTCTGGCCTTGGCCAATTGGGTGAGCCGCTTGGATGACAATTTCTGGTTGGTGGTTTGGAACATGGTTTTTATTTTCCATAATATATTGGATGTCATCCACCAACCATTGACTTTCATATTTTTCAAGATGGTTAAAACCACCAACTAGATTCGGGGAATCCATGACAAACTGCTGATTGAAGCGGGAAAACATGGGAAAACTTGGAATTGAATCCATGAAAAAATAGCGATCTAAGCCATCAGACATATGGATAATGGAGGGTAATGAGGAATCCATCAAAAAATTGGGGATTGAATTCATCTATATGCAGGCTTTTGTCCCACTGCTCCTGTGATGTTTATTTTTTACTGCAACTTTCTGATTGAATCATCGTGAATCCATGAACAAAGTTATGTGATTTGACCCATCAGAAATGTGGATAACAAGAGAGATTTAAGACATGAACAGTGAAAACATGTGAAAACTAAGTCCCCATCGATGGGGACTTAAGCCATCATAAAATGATATTTTTTTCACATCCAGAATTGTTAAACAAAATGTGGGTTTTATATGGTCTTATCAATCATCTCAAAAAGGGGTTTTGAGATGATATAAGCATCAAAATTGGGTTTGCAATGTTTTCACCATCAAAATCATGTTGGAACATACATACTCAATAAGGTTTTGTTTGCATTTTTTAGTTCCACTACATGGTTCATCGCTGTTTATAGGGTATCCCAGGCCCAGAAATTTCGATCATGTGCCCTTTGAAATGGCCGGTGTATACTGCCCAGCTCACCAGTGTTCCATTCTTCATTGGTTAAATATCTTTAAACCGCCGTGTTTGATGGTTAAATCTTACATGGATACTTTAATCCTTTAGTCTTTTGGCATCAATGGGATTATCTACTAACCAGCAAAAAACCTAGTTTTTTGCAGGGTATCTAAGATTGGCAATGGATATGTTTTTCACAATTATCTGGGTAAATTTGATCACGACCTCACTGTTCTCCCGAACCCTGGAATCATGGTTTAGTAAGGGAAATCATGCCCAAAGAGCCTTAACTCAGATTGGTGAAATACTTAGATTTACCCAGAATTATGGATTGTTAAATACCAATCTTTGATGGGTGAATCACTCTTTTTGAGGGTTAAATCCTCATATGTTTCAATGGGACGGAAGCAGCGTGGGTATGTCGCTGAGCCAGGTACTGCAGGCCTATCCTTGGACTCGCACGTTCCGTTGCTCGGTTGTTGGAAGACCATGTTTCTTCGAAAAAACAAAAATAACATGAGTAATTAACATGTTTTCTTCAGAATCCTCTACCATTGGTAGCTAACCAACCTGTTGTATATATATATATATTTTTTCCATTTTTTTCAGGGTTCCCTGATGTTTTTTGCAGGAAATGATGATCACAGTTATGAACTCTTTGAGTCACAGAACTGGGTTGTTTTTTTTTGTGGGTACAAGAAAAACCAGCCATTGCAGTTATGGCCCGAAATACCAGTTATAACATCTTATAACATCTTATACCCATTATAAGATGGGATTAACATCCTATAACATCCAGTTATAACATCCTATAACATCCATTGGGATTATAACATCTTATAAGCCCACTTATAGAATGTATAATCCCATACCCATATGCAACCCATGGTGCTGGAATATGAATCCCAACATGTGCCCTTGTCCAAAAAAAACACAAAAAGTTTTGTAGGTAAATATACCAGCACCATGGGACCATGGGTTTCATATGGGATAGAAATAACCAGCTATAACTAGTTATACCCTCTGGTAAACATACAAAAAACTATGGAAAGATTCACCATTTTTAATGGGTAAATCCACTATTTCTATGACCATTTTCAATAGCTATGTTAGTTTACCAGAGGGTATGTCATCTATGTTAGTTTACTCCTCCTGAACCATTAAAACCTCCATTTATAGATGATTTTCCCATTAAAACCTCCATTTATGAGGGATTTTCCATGGCTATGTTAGTCATAACCAGAGGGTAACTGATAAATGGCCATAACTCTGGTTTTGTCAAAAACCCACTGATTTCCCGAAGTCCAGCGATTTCATGGCGAATCTTCTCGACCTTTTTTTGTGACACAACGGTGGAGACCGTGGTGTTGCCCGCGTAGATGATCTTGTTTAGTACTATTATTTTATGTTTATATACATTATTTATCTATAGTACATAGACAATACACCAATATGATGCTTAATGATGTCGTTTATCTATATATATATACATGTTATCAATTTCTATGTACTATGTATTACTATGTCATAGTTAGTTTATCTGATATATTCATCTATATTTTATCAAATGGATTCAAATTGTATATATACACCCCCTAAATCATCATACCCCAGTCATACTTCCCAAGAAGGTACGGCTGGATCCATAGGCGTTATCAATTTTGATGTACTATGCCATAGTTATTTTATAGTTATTTTATCTAGACTTTATCTATAGTTCATCAATTTTAAAATTTTATCCATATATATATATACTATAAAGTTAGATATTGTTCCTTTACCTTATTGATATTTAAATATGTTTTTTATTTACTATTAATATAGTTCCTTATTTTGTTCAGAGATGTTTCGTGAGTTCGTTACGCAGGTTCCAGGCCATGCCGGGGAACAACGCCAACCACAAGTTGGATGCTGGGACGAAGGGACGAATTGTCGCTACGCAGCTACCCCCGTTTCGCTTCGTCAACGGTTCGTTTCGGGTCTGTCAGCTACGCGTTGTGAAGTTTCCCAGTTAGGGACTTGATGAAATGTGGGAAACACGTGGGGAATTCCTGAGTGTTTTGAGCTGTAAATGGAGGTTTTCATGGGAAAATGAGGGGAAACAAAAAATCAATAAATGGTATTAAATGGTGGATGTTCGATCAAGCCATGTATTTCATTGCCGACGGGTACGTCTGAAATATCTACTAGGTACTATAGCAACCACCAAAAAAGATGCAAAGTTGAGAATCCCACTGAAAGGGTAAACTACTGTTCTCTCTTTTTGGGGGTTGCTATATGATCTTTCATGGAATCCAACACCCAACAACACATAGCTCACATAGCTTGAAACCCTGGTATTTGCAGCTCTCAATGCTGCACTGCGTGGAGTTCGAAATGTGTCGGTATTATCTTTGCTCTTAGACCCAGTGATGACTTTATGATTTGTTTTTTGGTCTCAGAATCCAGTGCGCTCTGAGAGTGGCCACTGGAGCCGTCAGTGACGAATGGAATGTGCGAGTTGAAGGGTAATTGCCATCACCCTGATTTTAAATTAATCACCTCCCATAAAACCATGGTTTACTAGGGGATGAAATCACATATTTGAGACCATGGGATGGGGGTGTTTAATATGAACGGGAGATGGGATTATCCATTAATATCCACTTATTATTATCAATATCCAAGTATAGTGTATTATATCATACTGCTGATTACTATATATATATATTTAGATACATAGTAACCCATGAATATTCGGGAAGTGTGACTAGTTTTTGTGTGTCAATTTCAATGAGAGCTGAGACCCTACGATTTTCAACACTCAGGCTTGAAGGAACATGTCTTCACATCTACGGCTCAATACATGGTGCCAATGTGGTGCCAACCCTCTGGTAAACGTTTACATAGCTGTGAAACATCACCTTCTTTGATAGGTAAATCCACTAGAAATGATTCCAATGGCCATGTTCAATAGCTATGTAACACATTAAAAAAGGGTTGGCACCATGAAATTTCACGAAAAAAACCCATGGAAATCCCATGAACAAACCTCCATGAAATCCAACGAATTCCAGCTTTGTTCAGCTGCCATTGGGACGATGAGACGATGTGGGGAGGCTGGGATGGTCTGTTTTTCACAGACACGGCTGGCTGTCGCGGTTGATATTTTTAACATTCCAGGGTATCATTGGTATAATGGCTAATCTACTGGTTAATAATGGTTAATATAATGGTTATATAATGATGGTTAATATAATGGCTGGTTGGTGGTTTCAAACATGGCTTTCATGTTCCATCATATATGGGATGTCATCCACCAACCATTGACGAACTCATATTTTTCAAGATGGTTGAAACCACCAGTGTTTGTGTTTATTCACCGTGTTTGCACCATTATAGTATTATTATACACTATTGTACACTATTGTACACTGTACATACACTGTACATACACTGTACATACAGTACATCCTTATTTGTGTGGGTCAAAGCTCGGCATGTTCATGGTTGTTGGTTATGTGTTATGTGTGTTAGTCTGAAAAGCGGGTATGCCATTATTTATCCATTGCTCACTCATCATTTATCCTGTCAAACTGGCCATGTATGTGGTCAAATCCCAATGTCTGATGGTTCAATCCCCATTGAAAACAGCATTTAACTGATGGTTTCCGGAACTGTTTCATCCCAATATCATACCTTCAATCCTATTTTTGTTGTTTTCCGGAAAATGGATCTGATGGTTATTCATATAGGATTGTAGATCCATATCATGTTGTTTTCCCCATCTCATAACAATCCTACAATGTGAGGCCCCCAAGATAGCGTTCAGTTGGTGCCAATAACTCCAATAACTATGGTTTATGTAGTATTCATGGGGCTTATAGTCTAATAACTCTGGTTTATAGGTAATATATATATATATATTTATTATAATATCTATAGTTACTGGGGCTTTTGTTAACCAACAAACATCACTGGGGGGCCTCACATTGTATGATTTTTGGCAACCCCACAGATCCGATAAAAAACATCGTTGCGGATCCGAGGAGCAATTCCTTCAGAAAATTGAGGCGCTCCTGGGATCCTGGGAGCCACTGGGAGCTACGGCCCAGTTTCACGGTGGAATCAAAGATGGCTGGGTAAATTAATGGTTAATGTTGGTTAATGATGATTAATAGTGCTTATGAATGGTTAATGATGATTATTCTGGGTAACTTTTTTCACGACCGAAGCCTGTTCTCCCTCACTAGAATCATAGTTAGTAAGGGAAATGATCCCCAAGATAGCCTTAATTCAGGTTAGTGAAATATGATAATTTACACAGAAACATGGCTGGTAAATCCGGGAAGTCATTTGGCAAAAATGGGAACATCATCCATTTTCATGAAAAGAGTCATAGAGGTTTTTTCATAGGAAAATACGGGTTAAAATCATCAAACAAAATTGTGGATTTTCCAGCCATCGACACAGCGATTGAACACGTCGCGAACTGGAACGACTCACCTTATTTTGATGGGTTCTTTTTGGACAATGCTGCATAGCCTACATAGCTATGTTAAACTACTGGAGAGTGAGTTGGTTTACACTTCGATGTGCATCCCAGTTAGTAAGTGGTTTATAAGTTGTCAATAACCGCTACATACCTGGGGAGTTTTGTTTATATATAAATATATAACTGGGTTGCACCATGATTATGAATTACAAACCACTTGCTAACTGGGATGCACCCCCTAGTAACTCATATAGCAGGGGTTCATGGCACATTAAAAAGAAAAAACTGAAGTTACATGGATGTATACGATATACAAACATATACGAACCATTGTTTTATTGGGGGCCACCATTTACGTGATTTGAACAGCCCATTTTGAATCGTTGTTGCACATTTGTATGTCTTTGTATGTCTTTGTTGGCTATGTATCTATCAAGTTGCATGAGTTATATCATATTATATCTCCATGATATTTTTTTTCTATGGGATTGGAGAGTTCTTCCAGCCATCAAGCGTTGGAACATTCATGACCCACCTGGCCCTTTCAGGAGAGCTCCGGACAACGGACTGCGTCAGCGAGAGAGCTGAGTGCTGCTTGGATTCCATCTGATTCCTGCTCCCTTTTGTTGGAACAAATGACCATCTGGTTGGTGGTTTGGAACATGGTTTTTATTTTCCATAATATATGGATATATATATATATATAGATGGGATAATCCACCAACCATTGACTTTCATATTTTTCAGATGATTGGAAGGGTAGACATAATCTGATTATACAGTAAGTAGTATGGTTGGCCGGTGAATACGGATAGCCACCCCCATTTAACATGGGATCTTGCCTGCCAAATTGGCGACTTGACCCACAGACAGGCGCATCACTTGAGGAACTTAGGTGGGTGGATCAGGACTTTGGAAATCTTGAGTCTTGAGGTCACTTCGAAGATTTACCGAACTTGAACATGGTGAGTGTCCAGTTGGCAAACTGGATAGTAACAATATGTCACTAATATGTAACTATAGTTTCACAATTAGTTTCACTATCAGCCACAATAGTACAAACTCTCCACTTAGTTTACCAGAGGGAAGCCCACTTATGTACTTGATAGTCACAATAATTATGTCACAATGACTTGGTGATCCCTTGGATGGATGCGACCTGATTTTCTCGGAAAGCCCCAGATATTCAGGCCGTTGGGAAAATCAGGAAACACAACCATGTTTAATACAGTAATTATAGAAGGAAACTAGGACATTATATGATTATTAGATGATCACTAGATGATGATTAGATGAATTCAACAATTTCTAAGATATGATTGATAATTCAAGTGATTTTGCATTTATCGTTCGATCTCATGCCATCTAATCAGATTTCATGTTCTGCTTATCCAACTCTTGAGTGAGAAAACCACTGATGTATGGCCAGCCTTGAAAAATGAATCACAAAAACACTGCAGGTTTTTCCGTCAAATTTCACTATAATGTAATTAAATATTGTTATCAGCCAGGTTTACTGTAAATGTTATTAATCACATTGATAATGGATAATCAAATTTGCCAACATCAGAATGAGTGTTACCAGTCACAGGTATTTTGTGACTGCACCGAAAAGATTGGCATGGATATTTACCCTCTGGGAAATTAACAGTTGGACCCTGATTTTATCACCAATTTATAGTGGAAACTAATCTTCCAACCCCGACAACTGCCAGGGTCTATGTTAATTTACTGGAGGCTAATTTTTGTCATGTTGAAACAGCTCAGGCAAATCAGGGGATCCCCAGGGTGATCCCCATGCCATAAATGGTTACCCAACAAGACCCTGGGATCTTCAAAGGGAAGACCTGCGGGGAAACCAGCATGGCCGCCATGCCATCGAAACAACGTTACGGCCTGATTGAATTCTATGGTTTTGTTGACCCCTAATGCCATTCAGTGGTTGAATCCCCGTTCTTGATTGTTAAATCCGTATAAATCCGTAGCTGGTTCACCATTCTTCACCATTCGTATGTTATTCTTGTTGATTAAATTCCAATTTATCATATGACTTCATACGTTTTTCCCGCAGCATTTTTAAGCGAAACTAAGCGAAACGAACAGGAGTTCATCTATCACATGGTGCTGCAGTTGTTGAACACGAGTGAGTTCGCCTGTGTGGCCAGTGTCTTTGGCTGAAGTTGGAGACTGGAAGAGCGATGCACGACGATTTCAAGGATTGAGGCGAATAATCGATGCACTGCACAAAATATCATAATATAATATATATATACACATACCCTGAGTATCTTGCTACATGAGGCATCAACTTGTAATAAGTAATATTACACAATATTGATAATTGATCATACTGCAATTTGCAGCTCATTCTTTCAAGGGTGCTTGGAACTACCAAACATTCACCCTCAAAAGTCCATTTGGGAAGGATCCCATCTGCAGGAAGAATACGCGAACGATTATTGTTCGCTCAGACAAACAAGCTTCATGGTGTCCTGCAAAACGTTTTCAGTGGACATCGTTTTCGCTGCATCATACTTATCAGCCATGAAAATTCCATGCTGGCTGGGTGAACAGTTATGAAAAGTTGGGGTGAGTATCAATGATACACTAACTGGTCTGGTTGATGGTTTCAAACATTGTTTTTTATTTTCCATCATATATGGGATGTCATCCTTCCCATTTACGAACTCATATTTTTCAAGATGGTTATTGCACCACCAACCAGCTACCCTCTGGTAAACGTTTACATAACGAACTGGAAAGATCCACCATTTTCTAGCTGGATAAACCCACTATTTCGACTGGGCCACGGCTTCAATAGCTATGTTAGTTTACCAGAGGGTAGTATATCACGATATATCTACCATAAACCCTGGTTAACCATGGTTAACCTACTTCAATAGCGACTTTTTTGGAACTGGGTTACCGCGACTTGTATCATAGGATCCTAACCAAAGTCCTCCAGGTGCGCTGGCAGGGACCTTATCAGATGCCTATGCGAGTCGCTTGGCGGCAAGCCCGTGAAGTGCTGTGAAATTGATCCAATGTTTGGCCAAGATATTAAACACACGTGTATATATATATAATTATATATATACATAGAACATGTTGATTATACAGTTGATATGTCTTACTCATATATGTCATATATGTTACATATGGTATGTATATATATACATATTACATGTTATATATATGCTATATTAAGGCCTATGATTTATGACCGTTACGTCGTTACGGTGGCATCCCATGGCTCCCATGGCTCAGAGCCATCGAGGCGACGTGACCATCGCGGGGCTCGCGTCATATCCTGCGCTGATGTTGGCGCAGCTGGTGAACATCTTAGAGCCTCGGCAGCGGCGGAGTCCTGTCGATGATAGGACTGGTTATTTCACCCATGGGTTATTGCCCTCTGGTAAACGTTAACCTGGTTAGTGGTTTCAAACATTTTTTATTTTTCCATATTGGGAACAATCATCCCAACTGACTAATATTTTTCAGAGGGGTTGAAACCACCAACCAGTAACAGTTTGCGAACTGGAACATGGTGATTTAGTTCGTGGATTTAGCCATTAAAAATGGTGATTTTCCATAGTTATGTCAGTTTACCGGAGGGTAATGGACATTATGGAAATAACCAGAGGGAATCAATGGTGAATCAATGGTGAATCAATGGTGAATCAATGGTGAATCAATGGTGAATCAATGGTGAATAGTGGTAAATAATGGGATATTAATGGTTAATACTCTGGTTGGTGTTTTGGAACATGAATTTTATTTTCCATAATATATAATATATGGGATGTCATCCTTTCCATTGACTTTCATATTTTTCAAGATTGTTAAAACCACCAACCAGTTATGGAAATAACCAGAGGGTTTCATGAATCATAGATAGTTATAACCAGAATCCAATGGTACAGTAATTATTATTAACATTGTAGGATTTCATGGAAATTCATGGGATTTCATGGAAATTAGTTTTATTCGATGGACATGTACGGGATTTATTATGATTTAATGAGAAGGTTGCCATGATTTTGCCATTTATTACCTCTCTGGTAGTTTAACAGTCTGCGACCTGGAAACCATGGCCCATAAAATGGCCACAAAACCAGTCTGGCCATACAAAAACGTTGGGTGATTTTCCAGAGCTACGTAGAAAATTACCAGAGGGTACATAGATTTACTAGGTTGAACATAAATTAAGGTGAGTTCACCACAATCAAATGTGCATGTATATAGGTGTCCGGAAACTGGCTGGGTGACCTGGAAGATGAATAGATCCACCCTCGGACATATCAGCAGGGGGTGATCAGCAAACCACGGATACCCTATCCTGTTTGTCGGGGCTCCACAGGGTTCCATGTTTGTCGATGAAAGTGTACTGCTTTCCATTCCTATTGGGCCTATTGGCCTGTCATGTTGATGTGTACTGCAGATAGTCATGTTTTGTCATTCCTATTGTCCTATTGGCTATGAGTAGATTCGTTTTTCTTAGTAAAATAATACACCAACACTACATTAACAATGTTGGATGCATGAACACAATAAACAGTCCTTTTTCTCACCTAATAAAATAGGTATTTTTCAACACATGCCTGTTGAGTATAGATAGAGCTGATTAATAATCAGATTATGCCTATCTATGGGTTTTTTAATCTATCATTTCAGGTACCTCCAATCGGTTCCTGAGTCCTGGCCATGTTTCGATTGTGGGCCCAAGGAGGAGATGCGCGCCAAAGTCTTGCGAATCGCCCTCGAGTTGGCGCCCTACGTGCCTTGGCGCTGGCATGGCATGGTGATTTCGATTGCCACATGGCTAGCCCTGTTGGGTTCTTTTTGAATCCCAACGAACAGCTATTTTCTCAGCATTTCTCAACTATGTTTTCGGCGCAACTGGTGGTGTTGATTGTGTTATCTTCAATTTTCTAGCCACATAGACATGTCTTTTAGTACACTCATAGTACCAAGCAATTGATCCTGTTGGTGCAGCGGATGTCACAGTCTGTTGGGAAGGCTTTGGTGCGTGGACATAGCTAGATAGATCGATAGATCGGTAGATAGATAGATAGATAAATAGATAGATGATTTCGGGTGCTTGGTTGTTGTTTTTTCTTTTCATCCAGAAGCTCGCCACGTGAAATCTTCTCTGGCAATTTTTCAACTCCTCAGGCATTCCATGTGTCCATAGCGATAGACAGGATTTTCACTGCTGCTCTCCCGTTGGAAATGGGACCCCCAAACTTGGGCATTTCCAAGTGCTGACAGCTGAAAAAGATTCTCACAATCTCCCCGCAGGGACAGCTTAGAAGTAGCAACTCTGCCGCATCAAATGCCGGAGAGGGGTTCGCCCGTTCGCCCTGAAATCATAAGATATGGGGGTTTCCTGAAATGGGGGTACCCAATATCTGGATGGCTTATAAGTTTATAAGGTAAAACCCTACTCAAATTTGGATGATTTTTGGGAGTACCCCTATGACTTAGGAAACCTCCATATGGAAGTACAGATGGCCACGTCTTCTATCATTAATCTTATTGGTTGGCAAATCCACTGGGGAAACCTTTGGTGATGCCCGGCTCCAATTCGAAAAATGACACGTCACCTTGTAAACGTTTGGAATTTCAATGGATACAACATGTTGGTATCCAAAATACTGTAAACATTTCTCTAACCTGATTTTGGGAATTTCAATGTTTGACGTCATTTTGGTGTATCAGTTCTGTATCTTACCAGTCTCACAATAGAGAATGTTCATTTATCTTCACCAAATTCTACAGCATGATGACCCAACAAAGATGGGCTGTGAACTTAAGTTCCACAACAGCTCTGAGTAAAATTTGGCACGTGCACTTATTGACTTTGATTGACTTTGATTATCCAAACTATTCACTATGATTAGCCAGTTTTATATAGTTTTATGGGGTTGCAATCCACTTATCAACTAAGTGGGTCCCGCTGAACATGGTTTCATACTCCCAAATACAACCATTCGAATTGGCAACGTGATGATTCAGCAATGTATTTTGGATCATCCAGTCGTACATCTTCCGGGTGGTGCCCTTTGATCAAAGTTGGATCCTCTAACAGCCATTGGATTTTTTAGGCATATCATACCCTCTGGTAATGACTAACATAACTATGGAAAATCACCATTTGAAATGGGAAAATCCACTATTTCTATGGCCATGTTCAATAGCTATGTTAGTTTACCAGAGGGTAGGATATCACGATATATCTACCATAAACCCTGGTTAACTGGTTAACCATGGTTAACCTACTTCTACAGCGACTTTTTTCGAACTGGGTTACCCATCGCGAAGGCCTGGTGGTGCAGTTTTGCCGCTACTTCACCCTGACGCATAGCCATGCAGACTACCGCTTGCAGGAGTATCTGGCCCTGAGTTCGAAGAGGAAACAGTAGGAAGAGTATGGGGATAACTAGATAGTACGGGGATTTTTTTTGGGATGTCTAATCATGTCTAATCTATGGATACAAAATGCATATGATGGGGGAATGGGAAAAAATAATGGGATACTAAAGGGATATTCCTGGAATATGCTGGAATAGTATCCGACAACGTCAGCCTTTTTTTTAATATATAGCAACCCCAAAAGGATAAAAATGTGTCTTTGTTGTTTTGTTGGTTTAACCAAAATTCAATGGAATGGTTGAGAGTTGGCTCGCCCACATCCATTTTGGCTGCAAAGGGTTATCCTGCAGCCTGACAAGTTGACCAAGAAATTGGGAACTCTCAATGTCCAGGAATCAGTACATATCCAGGACAGGTTCATCTTGACTAGCACCACCCACCACCACCACCACCACCTCATCATTAAAATCAATATCATCACCACCACCACCATCATCATCATCATCATCAGCATCATCATTGTTTTTAACTATTGGTACTAATTGGTAATACGTAATAACACTAATTATTGATTGGTAATATATTAAAGTACACATAATAACACTAATAGAGAAAACCCTCATATAGTCAACATCTCCTCATTTTTCTGTTGGATCCTTTTGGGGGTTTCCAGAAATCAGGATACCCAATAGCTAGTTGGTTTATGATGGAAAATCCCATCTATAGATGGATGTTTTTTGGGGAAACAACCATATATATATATATGTTACATATAATATATATATATATATATATCTTACATATATATATACAGTATATATATATATATATGAACATGTAACATATATATATATATGTTACATATATATATATATATACTGTATATATATATATATATACATGCACATTATTATATCCTATATATATATATGGGTTCCATATATGCTTTTAGGAAGCCTCCATGTCTTGAGTTGCGTTCCCTGTTTCACTTCATGTGCCCTATGCCTCCAGGCACGAGGCGATTGATGAAGACTTTCACAATTCGCAGTTCGGCATAGTGCTGATCGTATCTTGGCGTATCATTCGGCCGAGGCATCTGGCGACCGGTCCCCTGTTTTTGTGGCGATAAAAAAAGGGGGGGGGCTATCGCACGATAGATCAGTTGCTGAACGGCTGATCAGTAAGAATTGAGGTGGATTTGTCTATAATTAGATGGAGTTACAAAGCATTTTTCGAAAAAAAACAAACATCTACTATATTTATCTGGATTTGCTGGTCCACGTATCTATTCTTGTTTGTGTGTTTAAACTTTAAAACCTCCCCATGTCTGTTGGTGAAGTATCCAAGCCACTGAGGGCAAGTTGTTCCCATCCAATCTGTGGGCAAGACTTGGACTTTGATTGACATTTTGATCGGGTCCTCTGGTAGTTTGTATTTCATAGTTTCCCCGCTTTTTAGGATTCAATAGGCCTGTCCTAATTTAAATCACAACTTTTCGTATGCAATTTGAGGATATAGAATGATATGTAATATTATGTAATGGCATTCAATCGGGGCCATTTAAGAGCCAGACCTGAACGGAAGTGGCTCCACACTTTTGGTTTGTTGGTTTACAACACCATCCAACTGTTTATAATATATACACACATATTAATAATGATAATATACATCACAACCTCCTTTGTTAGCCTTCTGATGTTTGATGTTTACCAACGTTCCTATCATTAATTGCTTTGTAGATTGAATACAACAACCACTTCCCGCAAAAAATTGCCTAGCTATCAATTCATCCATCATAGATTCAACCTCAAACATGAAGAATCCAATGCTTTTGTGCTGAAATCCTGGTAGATCTCACGTTCCCTTAGGATTCCTATGGCAGCCTGCTGAAGATGCTGCAGCACATAGACCACTTGCAGCTTGGGATATGACGACCGCAAAGCGCAAAAAAAATGTAGCAAAGTTATAAATCCGGCTAAACATATCTAAATCCTAAAGTAGTGGCAACTCTTGCAGTAGTAACTAACACAGCAATGGTATCTGAGCCGAGTGTTGACAGTCCCCCAGTAGTGGCAAAGTACTTTTCTATCCTTTTGGGTGGCTACCATACTATATTACTATATAGTCTGGAAAAAATGCAAAATGATGAAAGTGTCTAAGGAAGAATCTAAGGTGACCATGATTGAGATACGTTAATTTCTTATATATCTGAATGGCTACGACTATTTTCGCACACGACCTTAGATGTAATCAGCTTGAAGAGATGTAAAACAACTTCCATTACCAGCTTTGATTCCCTGAATTCCGTTGTGCCAGGTCAGTTCCTATGATTTTCTCATTTTTGATAGGGCATTTCCTCGGATTTCCCATTTTTTACAGCTCAGTACCAGGGATTTCCTTTTTTTTGGGGGATTTCCATGGATGTCACCAGAGGTCCCTTTGTTAACAAAGGGGGAATCCTCCCCCTAGCGGTACCGGATGGCGGTACCGGGGCATCCGGGGCGAGGTATTGCAGCTACGAACAGTTGATTGTGGCGGTGGATTTCGAGGGTGTCGAGCTGAATCGCCATGGCCCTCTTTGTTTGGTGCAGATGATCCTCGGTGCGGTGAAGAATTTGGATTGAGAGTTTGACATGCTGATTTAATCAAGGATATAGAGATTTAACCATGAGAATTGGTGAAGATTTGGAGAGATATTGGATGAACCATATCTAACCAATGAACAATGGATTTGGGGTTTGTACAGCAATGGTATATGTACACCAAAATTGAAAAATTATTGATCACAGCTTTTTTTTCTATCATTTGATGGTTATTTAAGGGAGTACATACACGATACTTTCAGACAGACCCAGATCCAGATGTGTGATCAATGGCCATTTCAGGAACCTAAATTGGAGGTATACCATATATGTATATATATATAAGGCCTATATAAGGATCCTGAAGATCTCCCATTGATGTGATGTTTCAGATTGTTTCAGCCATTTCGATATGTTTTTTTAGGCCTCCAGGAAGCCTCCAGGTTTGAGATTCCGGTGCCTTTTTGGCCTCGTAGGCCCTTTTAGGCTATGGATGGTAGCCCTTACCGGTAAACGTTTACATAACGAACTGGAAAATCACTGGAAAATCACCATTTTGAATGGGAAAACTCACTATTTCTATGGCCATGTTCAATAGCTATGTTAAATTACCAGAGGGTAGATGTCTTTATTTCATCTGTTTTCTTGTTGTAATGGTAGATGTTCACCATTTCTCGCACGAAAAATTGTATAAACTTTTGGCGATCGGTAGGTCCGTTTCTTGGGTTCAGTTTGAATGAATCAGATAGCTACATATTAATCCGTATCGTCCATCTACATTGTATGGGTGCATAGAGTTGTAAAAGAGGCAACCAAAAGACCCGCAGAATTAGTGACTTTTGGCACCACACCATCCAATGTTGTACGCTAATTTTTGTACGATCACGCAATTGGAGAGCCCAAAAACCCATGGTTGATCAATGTTTATCAGCATGTTCACCTTACCCCTGCAATATATTCGGGTAATTTTATCATGTACACCCAGCATGTTTTTTTTTTTTACCTGGTTGGTGGTTTGGAACATGATTCTTATGACTTTCCATTCAGTTGGGAATTTCATCATCCCGACTGACTTTCACTCATATTTGTCAGAGGGGTAGGCTCAACCACCAACCAGTTTCTGTTTTTTTACTGATCTTGTTATATGTTTATCATTGCACCTTAATATTTATCAGCATGTAGCATGATCATTTGGGGGACCATCTCAGGACGATCCACGACAATCCTGCGTTGGTTTATGCTCCTTGATCTGAAAGAGTTGGCAGCGATTTGTTGGACTGGTATGGAGTTGATGGGAGAATCTAATCTGCGTTAGATTTCTTAATGTTGTGTTTGTTGGATTTACTGGTATTTTCTAGCCATTTCATGTTCATGGGATGAACTAACTATTTTAATTGGATAGTTTAAGATTAAGACACCTTCCATAAAAATGCTTGTGGACGGTCTTTAATTGGATCACATTGGATCAAAGGTGTCGGTGTCATTGGATCACATGCTCGGGGAAATCCCCGCAGCCATCATCGGCAATTCGCGGGTGGTCACCAGCCAGGTATGATTGGCACAGGGTACCCCAATTTTATGGGAATTGAATGGAATTGAAATGGGCAAATGATGATCAACCAAGATATTCAGGCAAGTTACTATGTATGCAGCGATCTCAAATGGCCAAACCCCAATGATGGCTTTTGATATTGAGGAAACTATCAATTTTGACGCCGAAACACATCAGCTTTGCAATTTTTCATCCTAATGGCTTTTCGCCATTACCCTAACGAGGTCATGATAGTGGTTGAGTCATGTGTTTTCCAGGTAGAGTGACATCGTTCCCTCCTGTTCTGATGCCTTCTCTATGCTCTGAACTAAGCTGGTTGGTGGTTTGGTACATGAATTTTATGACTTTCCATATTTTTCCATTCAGTTCGGAACAACAATCCCAGCTGACGAACTCCATCATTTTTCAGAGGGGTAGGCTCAACCACCAAGCAGTAAGATTCTGTGACATCTAGAGACTCCCCAGGATGGTGATCCACAATTTTTCATCGCTGACTTTCAGGTGCTGGATATCCACGTGCTGAAACGTTTCTTGTCCGGAATGCTACAGCTGAAAACGAGGTTATACATGTTACAGTTTATTAAAGGTTATACAATGTTATATCTGGGGAAATTATAACGACCTCACTGTTCTCCCGAAGCCTGGAATCATGGTTTATAAGGGAAATCATCCCCAAACGGCCTTAATTCAGGTTATTGAAATATTACAATTTACCCCTATATAATTATATATATATATATATGTACACCTCCTTAAACAGCTTGTCTTTCGATTGGAACACATATTTCTTCAACCATCCTTTTTTTGGGGGGGGGTTCCTGTTTTCCAGACAAATCCATATGAATCCGTTCCCTTCGATCATAGTTTTCGTACCTCCCACGAAAACCCTGGAATGTTCTGATCGCCTCGTACTTCCAGCTGTTTGTAAACCCACTGACCAAAACGATCCATGATGTACCAAAATACAGTATATAGTGCTTGATGATTTTGGAATATTTTAGATATTCCACCAACTCCAATATGCTCCATGGTGCTGGAATATTTACCAACATTTGCCCGAACAAAATCATCCAGTTTTGTAGGTAAATATACCAGCACCATGGGTTGCATATGGGTATAGAAATAACCGGCTATAACTAGTTTTAACTGACCAGCCCGTTTAGATATTCCACCAACTATAGAGCAGGTGTTTTTGTTTCTTCCTTCCACCATTTTCGTTTTCCTTTTGCTCCCGAGGTGCTTGCAATCCCTTCGAGCTGGCCTCTCCGGGTGGCCGCTTTTTTACGGAATGGCTGATGGCTAGGACTCAGGAACCGATAAAAATTGGAGGTACCCTCTGGTAGTTAAACATAGCAATGGAAAATGGCCCAGTTATAATTGATTTACCTATTAAAAGTGGTGATTTTCCATAGCTATGTTAGTTTACCAGAGGGTATCTACCTTTTCGAGGCCTAAGGGGATATACCCCCAATTTCTATGGCCAGAAATATGATACGAACGTAGCTCCATTTTTGGATCCTGGAGATCTCCCAATTGCTCTATGTAAATTGAATCTATGAAATCCCAACATGTATAGCATCCCTCCAATTCTGAGAATGGTATGCAATTGAAATGGTAGGCAATTCCGGGAATCATATATTTAACCGGATGTTATGCTGTTTTTTTCTTCTGGGATATGAAGATGGGTTTAATGCGATCATGAAGGGGAAGTCATCTATGGCATTTATCTATTGAATCATCAATAGGATTCATACTATACTATTACTATAACCATCAGCAACTGTGGGAAACCACTAGGCGATACTCATCTATAAACCATCGAACTAGATGGTGATTTAATGGGACATCAACGGGGAGTTAGTTCTTTAAAACTAACCAACATAATGATGAAAAATGGGAAGAATAAGGGATACCCTCCGGTTATCAAACGTGGCACTGGAAACTCCACCATTTAGTTCGACAACATTTCTCAATATTCCCATTAAAACTTCCATTTCTGGGAAATTTCCCATTGCCACGTTTGACTACCAGAGGATATTTATGGCTTTAGCAGGATTTAGTAAAATACTGTTGGGAAAAAAATCTATAAATGGGGATCCAATAGGTTATTCATGGGGCGTATATAATGGGATATAACCAACATGATAATAACCCCTTCCGCCAAATATAAAACTTCCGCAATATCAACCATGGTTTAGTAGAGTATGAAAGCGCATAGTGCGGACCATAGAATGTCATTTGGGGTTCAATAGTCGGGGATGATATTCTGTGAATTTCATTTGGAGGAAGGTGTTTTCCATGGCATCAAGAATGGGATCAGACCCATTACACAGAGATTCAACCAACACATCAGAAATTTCCAGACGCCGATTTACCCATCAATGAGGGTCCAACAAAATGGGAATGGCTCAGATTTGTCCACTGATCGTTTGATATCAAGTCGCCATGTCGCCGGCGAACAACAACCCGCCCTGGTTTTATCAAAGCCTCCGGTAAACTAACATAGCTATTGAACATGGCCATAGAAATAGTTGATTTTCCCATTGAAAATGGTGATTGTCCATAGCTTTTTGTATGTTTACCAGAGGGTAGCTATAGCTA